GACAAATATATCTACGAATGACTCTTTTGTTTAAAAAGACTTGATTGTAAACAGACCAAAGGAAGATGATGATGATGATAATAATGTTTGCTATATTACTGAGTTATAACTCCGTGACAATTTTAATCCTTTATTTCTTCTTTACACTTTTTCCTACCCGCTCNATATCATGTTGAACAAACTGAGAATTATCATTATCCCTTTATTCTTCAGCTTTCAATTTAATTTTTTAACTACTTTTGAATTGGTTACTTTTTTGTGTGTGACCTGTCATGGTCATAAACAGTTTCCTAAATTTTTTAGTCACAAAAAAGAGGATTGCTAGGCACTGATTAGAAGACAAATAAAGAATAAAAAGGATTTGAGTCTTGGTCACAAACTAATCTAATCACTTCATATCTTTGCAACCCACTGTCGCAGAACATAGATGTTTCTCAAGCTATAAATTGTGTTAGATTAAATAATCTAAATTTGAAAAATCAAAGGTTTTCACCATCAGGTTGGAGATTAGAAAAATTGAGTTTGTTGCAAAGACTCAATTCCTTTGTATGTACCTTATAAAAGACCCAATTTGTAAACCTGGGAAGAGGGCTGCGAGGGGGGAGGGGGCTAGGAGGGAGGAGGGGGAGTTGCTTGTTAGTAGATAACGATATAAGTTAAAGAAGCTAAAGCTGAGAGGAAATATTTATTAGAATTGAAACAGTCTTGTATTTGTGTAATGAGCAGAGGAAATATTTGAAAATTACACAAATACATTTGAAGTTTACATTTACAGAATATAATTTTAAACAGAAAATGCACAAATAAAAAAAAAATAGGAAGGAAATATCCAATATATTAAGGTTCTGAATAATGTGACCCTCCGTGCTAAGATGCCCGATTTACACTTTACCCTTGAAACCTTAATTTTATCCAAAATGCGGGTTTCTCCTTTTCTTAAAATCCAGAAATGCGCAAGTCACTTTCACAGAGAAAACACAAATGAAAATTAACAGTTTTAATAAACAAAAACATGGACTCAAACTTCAAGGGTATCGTTGTGAATCAGGCTTTGCCATCTGTTCATGTATTTTAATATCAGTGAATGCAATGTCATTGCTTCAATGAAGATTTAGGAATTCTTCAGAAAATACCAGAAATCTCTAGAACAGGAACTCGAATTTAAACTCAAGTTATGACCTAAGATATCCCAATAGACATGAGACACAGTGATTGGAGTGATTGTGTAGCGTAAAAAGACCCATTTAACTTAATAATTACCAGTAAACTTATTTGCTTTTTAGCAACATCAAATGCACAATTCAGTATTGTTTTAATGTTGTCCTTCTATTCTACAGTTTTCTGGGTATTACTATATGATTTTTCTTGTTCTTATTCTTATTCGTATATATTTTGTGATTGTGAGAGCTAGGATTCGTTAAAAAGAGTTGGGATGGTTAGATGGTTGGTTGATTAGAAGCTGGGATGGTATATTTCAAACTTATATTATTTGATCTAACAGAATTCATAGTTTGAAATATCTAAGGCCTACGACATAGGAATACAAAGATATAGGATTTAAAAAAGCAGAGTTTGTGGCAAAGACTCAATTCCTTTGCCTCAAATTTTGATTCGAAAACTAAAGAGTAGGAGGATAGGAACAAAGAGTAAGTAGCTAGGGAAGGAGGAGAGGTAGGGAGGAAAGGTACAGAGAGAGAGAAGAAAGGACGGAAGGAGTGGAATGGGTTTGGACAATTTTGATAATTTTTTGTTGAATATTTGATAAAATTAATGACCGACGACCTCTACAGGCTAATTAACCCCTAATTACTGAACATATAAATACAAGTATATTCCTAATGACTAGGCCCGGACACTGTACAGGGTTAAGCAGGGAGCAGTAGGGTGCTTATTATCATCATTTCGCTAATTTTATTACACCTGTTAAGATAAGTCGTAAAAATGAGTAAATGAGTTTCAAAATTATGAGTTGATAATTATAGGTTTGATGAGACCTGCGGACCTTTGCAAATCTGAAGCATATTATTATTATTATTTTTTTTTGCAAGTTAAGCTTAATTACTGACCATTCATTTAAGTACATTAAACTATATTTAAAGTGCAAAGGGAGTAAGGAATAGAAGGGAGATAAAACTGACGCGGTTCGCCCTACCATATGATTATACATGCTTTGCAGACGAGTACTCCATTTGTATAAGAAGTATTTGTCTGATGTACATTTACTGCGTATACAATAACCTATTCTGAACATTTCATATACAAATGGAGTACTCGTCTGCAAAGCATGTAAAATCATATATGGTGGGGCGAACCGCGTCAGTTATAGCTCCCTTCTATTCCTTACTCCCTGTCATACGTACAGGGGGTTAAAGGCCGGGTGTTCATAAATAAAAGATTAAAAACAGTCTTTTCAGATTTTGGTGACAGAAGAAATAAGTTCATAGAAAAATGGTTTTAAGGCATTTTTTCTATCGGGATGGTGTAAAAATGGGATGAACCTGTTAAACTTAAATTTTTTATTTGTTGGCATATATACGTTTTATTTTAGTAAAAAAGTACAAAAAACAACTCCGTAAGTTTAAGATTATTAAATTATTGGACAAAACACGATTAAATTCGAATAAAAAACCGAATAAATCTCGCCCTGATTATTTCCTCCCCACCCCCTCTCCTTGGTTCAAAGAGAACCAATTATGCTGACTGCTGCAGAGGATAAAACCTGACTCCATCTTAAATACAAATAAATGCCCACAGGATGAACAAATATACAGATATTAAAAAATGAAGAAATATTTATCTTACAGATCAAAATGGAGAACAAGCTTGACCTTAGATGAGGAATAAGTGAAAGAAGGAGACAGTTTGAAAGAAAATCGGATGGAAAAAGGGAAATAGGATTAATATTGTGGGAAAAAAAGAGTGGTTTGGGAATAAATGAAAAATTATCTAGGGTAAGTCGAGAAAAAGAGAAGAAGAACAAGAAGAAAAAGATAATTTGAATTTACAGAAATAATGAACGAAATCAGAAAAAAAAGAGTCGAAGAGTTAAAGAGATAGGAAAAAATATTTCAGAAGAAAACCACCTAAGAATAACTATGGAATAAAAAACTGGAAGAAAAACAAGACAAGTATTATGCTGAAAAAGTTGATAAGTAGGGATAACTCGACAGAACCCAAGGATGGAGCTGAACCCTATCCGTCCTATAGCTCCTATACCTCCTCAACCCCCCGGAGAAACCTGAAACCTGCCTCCACTAAACCCAAGAACCCTAGCCAACCAATACCAATCAGTAACTCCAGTTATTTAAGACTTGAAGATAGAGGAATGAATATTATAAACTCTGGTTTCAACTCTAGTGAATCCACTCCTAGAGAAGGTTTCAACCATTCTCCAGGCGTTGATCAAATACGACAGCTCTATTCTACACCCAGAAAAGAGTTCCAGAACATCCATAATTTGGGGGTAAACATTTCATGTTAAAGATAAAGACCTCTGGTATCATCTTTTTTTTGGTTCTTTCTAGGTCTCTTCTAGGTCTTTTCTAGGTCTCTTCTAGGTCTCTTCTAGATCTCTTCTAGGTCTCTTCTAGGTCTCTTCTAGGTCTCTTCTAGGTCTCTCCTAGGTCTCTTCTAGGTCTCTTCTAGGTCTCTTCTAGATCTCTTCTAGGTCTCTTCTAGGTCTCTTCTAGGTCTCTTCTAGGTCTCTTCTAGGTCTCTTCTAGGTCTCCTCTAGGTCTCTTCTAGGTCTCTTCTAGGTCACTTCTAGGTCTCTTCTAGGTCTCATTTTATATTTTTTTCTAGCTAGACGGATAATACTATTACTACTACGGTTATATATATTGTACAGTGATCAGTGATCAGTGTGTAGTGTACAGTGTTCAGTGTGCAGTGTGTAGTGTATATATATATGAGGATGAGAAGAATAATACAGATGATACTATTCTACGGATATATATATACAAGAGAATGAGAAGAATGATACAGATGATATGTGTAAAAGATTTGAAATAAATGAACCTGGAAAATGAGAACAATAGTTCTATTGTACAAAACGTATATTAAATAGTATATCATGGTTAGAATCATAAGATTCATCTTAACCTTCATCACAACCTAACCTTCTTCCTTCCCCCCTCCTCTTACCACCATCATATGCTCTCCCCTATTATTACCCTCCTTCTTTCCTCCTCTCCCCTTAAATTTCAACCCCATGACAATAAAGAAAATAAACAAGCAAAAATAATAATTAGATTTTATACTAATGACATCATAGGAGAAGGAGACTTGTTTGTTGTCTCAAATCCCTGATAATTATCTAAGATTACCTCCAGATAATTGCATAATCATGAACCCCTAAACCAAATATTATAATATATATATATATACAATATATATAAGTATATGCAGTATAAAATCTGACGGAAAATATCGAAATCCTGACGGTAAATATCGAAGTCCTCACGGGAAATAACGAAGTCCTGACGGGAAATATCGAAATCCTGACGGGGAAATATCGAAACCCTGACGGGAAATATCGAAATCCTGTTGGGAAATATCGAAATCCTGACGGGAAATATCGAAATCCTGACGGGAAATATCGAAATCCTGACGGGAAATATCGGAATCCTGACGGGAAAAATCGAATTCCTGACGGGAAATATCGAAATCCTGACGGGAAATATCGAAGTCCTGACGGGAAATATCGAAGTCCTGACAGGAAATATCGAAGTCCTGGCGGGAAATATCGAAATCCTGACGGAAAATGTCGAAATCTTGACGGAAAATTATTTGAATCCTAATTCCTAACTCAAAATTTTCAAATCTTAACGAAGAATCGTTATCCTGTCGAAATCTGAGTCTGAGGGAAAATATTTTAATCTTGACGGCAAATATGACGAAACCTGTTTAAATTCTCTCTGAAAAATTGAAAACTTGAAAACAATAAAAATGAAAATACAACTTTAAAATATATACTTGTAATTAAAAATATATTTGTATAGGATGAGAAGGAAGAGGAGCAGAAAAATAATGATGAAAGGTTGGAGCTCAGAGAAGATCAATCAAACGATGCTAGAATCGGATCTATTGACAAGCTCACAAATCCCGGTTTGGAAACCTGGGTTGGAAGTGAACCCAACCGGTCACTTGACACCCTTCCAGCAAATGACTGGATGTTGATCAATGACCGAGCAGAAAAAGATGGGTCTTCATCAAATTTGTCAACTGAAAATCATGAAACTAAGGTATCTATTTTACACAGGGTTTAGTTTATGCACAAACTCTTATTTTCTAATCACTATATTTTTGCAGTATGATGTCATACACCTTTGATATTTCAAACCACAAAATCTGCTATATCAAAAAGTATAAGTTTACAATATGAAAGAATTTCACCATAGAGATTTGCAAATGTATAGGTATTAGAAAATTTGAGTTTGTTGCAAAAACTTAGTTTCTTTCAATAAATTAATGATTTAAAATGAACTGATTGTACGATATATTCTTTTTAAAAATCCGTTTATTAAAAACTAAAACATAATTATTTTCAATTTTCTCTATTTGAGGTGACTGCTGGAAAACATATTATATTTATCTGAAACACTTTTCAAGCTAAAACAAAAACGAAAATATTTTCAACATTATTGATACTTACCACAGTGATCAAAGGTTGCAAAAATCTATGAGCATTTTATTAATTACAAACAAATGCATTGTAGTTTCACCATTGTTAAACATTTTTTTAACAAATATTTTGTCTAGAACTGTGATAGCTCAACGAAGGAAAAGACCGCCATGGTGACGTCAGAGAAAGAAAAAAATGATCTTCTGATCATTTCAGAGAAAGACATTGTTGAAAGAGCCCTTCAGGGATACTCCAGTCTTTCAATAATTTTTATTTTTAAAAGTTTTTTTTATGGTGTTAATCTTGAGAAAATGAGATGAACAAAGCTTTGCACTTTCAAACTTTTCTTTGTTTAAAAGAATTCATCATCATTTTTTATAAAAGAGAAAATATATTTTTTTTCTTCATCACTGTTTTATTTTTACAATTAAGGGGACTGTAAGCGCACTTTAAAGTGACACTCCATGCAAAAATTGGAAACCCTGATTCACAACGGTACCTTTAAAAGCCAGTGGGGCTGGATCTTATAAGCTACCTCTCCGTGTGTATTAGCCTGAGTGTACACTTGGGATAGTTTACTGATAAAGGATGTTAAGAGATTATGGCCCATTCATACAGTACAAATATCAAATATGCAGTACGCTTTGAGTAGTGGATTTTAATAGTTACATGGAAAACAAATTCTCCATTTAAATATTTTCAGAAATCACCCCCGAGTACTGTAATATACAGATTGACCTTTGGAAGTGAAGTACATAGCCTGTACAATTGTAGTAATGGATTAGCGTACATCATCACTCTTTATACTAAAACCTCATTGTTAAAAGCTTTGTCTGATCAAGTAAGAAAAAGATGTGTTTATAATTTCAAAAAACTAATTATTTTCTACTATCTATACAAAAGTGACTTGCACATTTCTACCGCAGAAAAACATTATTATCATAAACAATTTTCAAGCTATAAAAACGATAATATCTTCCACATTATTGATTAGATAAAGGTTCAAGGGTACTGTTGTGAATTGGACATTGCCATCTTTGCATTGAAGGTCTTTAGTAAGAAAAACTTGCTGGTAAATTTCCTTATTATTTTTATAAATTTCCCCCCCCCTCCCTCTATGAACAGGTTTACGGTGTGCTCTGCTTTATATTAAATATTTAAATTTGAACAACTTCTTGTCTTTACCTTGCATATTATTAGCAGTCGTATGAAGTATACTTTATATTATTTTAGAAATACTTCATATTTGGAGATTTCATAAAAAAAATATTAATTACAAAATATACTTTCAAATTTAGTCCTAGTTCAGGGGAGTAAAATATTATTTACCAAATAAAGGAACTGAGTTCGTGCCACACATTCTAATTTTCTATCCTTTATATCTTTGCAACCTGATTTCCTGGACCTTGAATATTTTAAATTATGAATTCTTTTAGATCAAATAGTCAAAGCTGGAAATATTAAACGGTTATAACTTTAGGTTGCAAAGATATAAGGATTATTAAATTTAAGTTTGTGGCAAAGGCTCAATTCAATTCTACAATTGTTAATCATGAATAAAGAATTTATCCTAGTGTCTGTATCCAAATATTTCTGATTTCATCCAGCTGTAAACTTGTTTCTTTCTTTATTCAGACAGAAGACTTTATTCAACCTTGGAATCCTCATATTTAAAGATTCTTAGGTTATCTTAATAGTCTCATCCTGCATGGGTAACATACCCCTGCACCCCCCTTCCCCCCGCCTTGTCGTGTGTGTACTGTAGTATCTGCAGGAGCGTGGATATCGTGTCCGTGAACTGGTTGAGAGTGAACAAGATTATGTATCCGACCTGGCTCAATGTATCCAGTATATCAAGTATATGCGGGAGAGTAAGGAGGAGGAAAACCCGGAGATTCCAATGCCGGAGGATTTAAAGCAGGGGAAGGACAGGATGATCTTCGGGAACCTGGAGAACATATACGAGTGGCACAGGGAGTACGTCATCTTTATGTCTCATCTTTTTATTATTATTATTTAGCTGCTTTTTAGTTATTTCTGTAAGAATATGGTAGAGTCTGCTGAGAGACCTGGGGACCTGGGGAACCTCTTCAAGAAGAGTGAGAGAAGGTTGCAGATGTATGTGGTGTACTGTCAAAATAAACCTAAATCTGAACATATTGTTTCAGAGTACATAGATACGTATTTCGAGGTAAGGCTTTCCTGTACATAGTTGTACTGTACGGTACTTTACCACTCGTAAGCTTTGTAAATTGAATAAAAAATTGGAAAAATTTCAGTTTTGCTTTTTACCTAAAATAAAGCTCATTTATAGCTTAACTTACAGTAGGACCGAAAAAATGTGGAATGGGAAGACGACTGTTAGTCTTAAGTGAATATTTTAAATATTTTAATTAACATAAAACACAGTAGTTGTACACTGTACAGTGTACATAAACCCATTTTACTAAATAACTAATTTGGCAACATCAAATACATATATATATACATATATTATTAACTCGAATTTTAAAATTCTTTTGATTAATTGAGCCAAGTTTTTCACTCTTTGGTTTCTGGCTGGTTGTGGAACACCTGGTAAATAATCCATTTCGTTAATCCACGACATATTGAAAAGTAAATCTATTTCAGGAATTGCGACTGAAATTAGGTTTTAAACTACGACTGACAGATCTTTTGATAAAACCTATTCAACGCCTAACAAAGTATCATATGCTCCTGGAGGCCATTCTTAAATACTCGCTACGTGCCAACTTGAGCGTAGAAGCACGCGCACTAGAGCAAGCGTTTCATGTAATGACCGTTGTTCCAAACCAGGCCAATGATATGATGGATATAGGTCGTCTTCAAGGATTTGAGGTAAATTGGAAAACACATATTTTTCAATTTAATAATATTATTCTATTTTCAGTAACCTATAATCACAGATAAATTTCGTGTAACATTCCATTTAAAAAGGGGGTAATGCCCGTTTAATAATGGTCTTACTCCATTAAACCGTTAAATGATCAATAATTATTTTCTAGATTTAAAAATTTTTGATTCTGAAAATTTGTAACAAATATCACAGAAACCAAACAATTGAAAATAACCTAGTTTAGAAGAGAAACTGATGGGTATCACATACATTGTAGATCAAACAAAACTTTTGACATGCAACTAAATAAAGGAGAGTCATTATATTATTTTTCAATGGGAAAGGGAGTGTTCGCGAAAAATGAAAGGGGGTAAGCAAGGATCCAGCTACTTGCCCTTTATGTATTATTTCTACAACGCCCTGTTAATTCAATAATTTAGGGAAAGATAGTGGCTCAGGGTAAACTACTTCTCCGAGGTCCTTTACTGTGTGCCGAGGATCCAGGTCCTAATTCCAGGTTTAAGGAGATGACCGTCTTCTTGTTCGAGCAGATCATCATCTTCTCAGAAACTGTCGGGAAGAAAACACAGTTTACTAGTCCAGTGTACATATACAGGGCTCATATACAGGTACAGTTTATGTACAGTTTACTAGTCCAGTGTACATATACAGGGCTCATATACAGGTACAGTTTATGTACAGTTTACTAGTCCAGTGTACATATACAGGGCTCATATACAGGTACAGTTTATGTACAGTTTGCTAGTCCAATGTACATATACAGGGCTCATATACAGGTACAGTTTATGTACAGTTTACTAGTCCAATGTACATATACAGGGCTCATATACAGGTACAGTTTATGTACAGTTTTTGTATAAACGATGTGTTTTGAAATGCATATGTCTGAAGTAAAATAACCGACATTGTATATATTTACTTCAGGTCAACAAAATGTACGTTGAGGAAAGAATAGAAAATGATCTAGAGAGAAGATTGTTTAGCGTACAAAGTACAGACCCGGTGCGACCCGCCATCATGTACTTGTGCCAGGCAGAGGACGGGCCAGGTTGGGACAAATGGACAAGTTGTCTTCGTCGCCAGCTTCAGACCCAGCTCGACTTTTTAAAGGCTCTCCAAGCCCCAATAGCTTACCATAATAGCCTGTCAAAACAGTTGTAAGTATCTTATTCTAAAAACAAATGTGTCCATGGTAGAATTTTGATTTGGTTTTGACTTGTAGTTATTGAATGATTATTAGGGTAAACCAGTAGGATTCATAAAACTCGTAAAGTAAAGTAAAGTAAAAAATCTGTTATAAGACTCAATTCAGACTTAATTCATGATTTTAAATAGTCCAAGGAACACAAACACAGCAATTGAACATTGTACATAGAATCATTTTACTCAATGAATTACGTTTCAAACCTATTTTTGTGTTACATCAAATACTACACATTTCTTTAATGTCGTCTTTCTTCTTCCCGTTTTTAAGGGTTCCACTGTAATAACTATAAAAAGAATTCTCTATAATTAAAGATAAAGTTGAGATTATCTTTAAAATATGTTTACGATATAAGTTGGGATTATCTTTAAATTATGTTTGGGATAAAGTGGGGATTATCATTGAACTATGTTTGTTTATAATTGGCATAAAGTTGGTATTATATCTTTAAATTATGTTTATGATTGGGTTCAAGATGGTATTATCTATAAACTATGTTTATGATTGGGATAAAGTGGGGATTATCATTGAACTATGTTTATAATTGGCATAAAGTTGGTATTATATCTTTAAATTATGTTTATGATTGGGTTCAAGATGGTATTATCTATAAACTATGTTTATGATTGGGATAAAGTAACTATGTTTATAATTGGCATAAAGTTGGTATTATCTATAAATTATGTTTACGATTGGGTTCAATATGGTATTATCTTTAAGTTATGTTTATGATGTTTATGATTGGGATAAAGTTGGATTTATAAGCACAAAAATGGCAGTGGACATTTTGGAAATGGCAGGACCTTCCGACTAGAACTATTCTGTGAATATTGTTTCATAAAAAAATATTGCTAAAATCAGGTTACCAATGTTGAATCCTTTGAAGTCATCAATCAATTTACATTCCGGGTTATTTAGAATACCATTGGACTATGTAGAGTTAGTTAAATTATGTTTGATTAAATTTGAATTTAAAGTTTGGATTTCGTTTGAGTTAAGTTGGAAATATAATGACGTCATATGAACAGGATCCAATATCAATTTCAAAATAAAAATTTAAAATATTTTACTATTATTTTATTTTCAGTTCTCTGTCAGATTTAAACGAGCATTGGGACGTGAACTCCCACCATAGATCTGTTTCAGGAATGGGATTTGGGAATAATAATAAACAAAATTTTGTTGTTGTTTTAAATGCACTTAACCCCCCCCCCCCCCCGGGGAGTGTATACAGGATTTGTTCATGGGGGGGGGGGAGCTTGAACCCGATTTTTCTTTACGGGGGATCTGAAGCCCACCCAAAGATAATATATATATAGATATGCAGACAGGTATAAATTTAGAGGTCTTGAGAAAATGTGCAAACAGCACCATCTCTGTCGTACGCATGGCATTTTATCCTCTGGATTGTTGCTAATTTATCACTTTGTTTATGCGTGATAACACTAAATGCGTACTATAGTATCAACAATGTATACTGCATATTGTACTTAATGAAACAAATTAATCAATGCAAATAAAACTGAGGTAGGAATTTGACTAGACAAAGTTTAAATGTGCAAGTTGCACTGAATGGCATACGTAGATTAACGCAATTTAAATAAAAATTATGACTATAAAAGTACATCGAGTCTAGGACAAATTACAACTGATCTGATCATAACATAAACAAAACGCGTACTGTATGTTTGTGTTACCTTGAAATTTAATTTTATTGGTCAAACAGGTCCAGATAGCAACACTTGAACTATACAGGATGCAATACGCGTACTGTATGTTTATATAACACAAATGCGTATTTCCTACAGATAGCAGCAAGGGGAGAAAGGAATATAGAAAGTAATCAATTTGCTATAGATGTCTCTCTTTTCACATTTTCTCAGAGGTTCAAAAATTAGTTGTCTGCTACAAGCAATTTAGGAAGGAGGTTTCTACCTGCCTGCATATCTATATATATATTATCTTTGAGCCCACCTTAAAATTATAAATTTACCTAATTCCCCCACCCCTTTTGTATACTCCTCTTTCAAATATTTTAAGCTAAAAAAAACGAAAATCTGAAAATCTATAACTGTCTTAATCGTTAAAAATGCCACTTTTTCCAAATTGTTCCCTTGTTGGTTTAGGGAGTGTGCTCTCCTATCCTGAGCATCTACATTTAGGTAAACTTTCAAGTTACACATTTTTTGCTCACCCCCCCCAAAAAAAAAAAAAAACTTGTCTTAAAAAAAACTTTTTTTGTAACCCCATTTGTGACACACGCTATGGATTATTTTATTTTAATATGAAAAGGATTTTATTTTTTAATTTTCATTGTGTTTTTTGTTTCAGGTGATTCCGTAGACCGAGCTTTATCTCTCCCTGGATCTCCATTATCCCTACTCGGATCCTCCATTATAAAACAAAATGGCGGAGTAGAAAAATCCTCGAGCATGAAAAAATCCACGCTTCCCCGCCCAAAGAAAGCCAGAGCCAATTCAATCACCACAATTTCTTTAGGTAATATTAATCACGTAAAGAATATAACTTTTAATGCGGGGGAAAAATGGCCGAAACACAATAATTTAATTAAAATTAAAATTCATAAAATTTTAATTTTTAGGTAAAATAGGGTTTCTTGACACATTAAGACGAGGGAAACTGAATAGAAGTGGAGATAATCTTCTTGTTAAAGGTGAATACTTTCAGTTACTTTCAATATCATTTTTTCTTTTCAAATTTTCTCTTTTGTATTTTAAAATTGTATTTTTTTTTAAATGTTATTAATCAAAATGAATTGCAAATTTTAAAGCTAAACCATTAAGTCATGCAAAATTAAGTCCTCAAGCTAAATGTTGTGTAACATAAATTTTCAATAAAATTCCGTCATTTTACAAGAAAAAGTAAGAAATTGAGTATTTCATGCACTTTTTTGGGAAAATCCTAAAGTATAAAATTCCGGAGAGATGATGTTTTAATATTTTAGGGAAGGAAGGTGTGAGCAGAGTTTCCTCAACTGAAGAGGACGGAAGTCCTAAGGCTAGTAGAAAAGAGAAAGGATGGGATCCGTTAGCAAGGAGATGGTCTGAGGTTTCATACACAGCTCAACCATTGGTAAGTACTGAGGAGCTCAACCATTGGTAAGTATTAAGGAGCTCAATCATTGGTAAGAACCGAGAAGTTCAATCATCAGAACTGAGGAGTTCAACCATCGGAAAGTAATGAGGAGCTCAACCATTGGTCAGTACTTATAGAGTTCAACCATTGGTCAGTACTGTAGAGTTCAACCATTTATAAGTACTAAGGAATATGTACTGTAAAGCTCAGTTATCGGCAAGTACTTGGTATTGGTAAACGACTTTTGAATAGGAAATACAAAATTGAAAAAAAAAGAAAAAAGGTTAAGAAAAAATCTTAGATAAAAAATAATTTGATGAATAATCTTTATTATTTTAGATGCTGGATAGAGGAGGAGAGAGTCCTGAACTACGGTTAGAAGAGGCAGAAGAGGGGAACAGTGGAGAGGAGAGGGAGGAAGGAGGGAAAGTGGAGAATAAGAAGAAGGGGCGAGGAAATGGAGAGGAGAGGGGGTTGGATGGATTGTTTCTCGCTGGAACTAAAGCTACTGTGCTGGTCAACTTCAGGTAAAAAATTCATAATTCTACTTTATCCAACTTTCTATTGATCTATCTATTTATCTATCTATTCATCTATCTATCAATCGATCTATTGATTTATCTATTTATTGCTATTTTTATCTTTTGATCTATCTATCTATTGATCTTTTATGTAATGATATATCTATATTGATCAATATATCTATTGATCTATCTATCTATTTATCTATCCTCCTTCTATCTATTGATCTATTTATCTATTGATCTATCCTTATTTCTACACTGATAACCAGAAAACTGTAGAAAAGAAAGACGACATTAAAGCAATATTAAAGTGCAGTAGTTGTTGTTACAAAGCAAATAGCTTTACTCGTAAATTAATAATAATTTATTATGTGAAATGGGTCTGTTAACACTGCACAATTGCTGTGCCTCATGTGCCTTAAAGTCAACTTCCTATCCAGAGTTTACTGGTTATCGCTGTATTTAAGTATTTATCAATATCATAACTATCTATTATTTACTATTTTTATAATTCCAATATTTGTAGAGCTGTGAAGATAGAAGAGTTGAGTGTAGTGCGAGGTGAGATAGTTACAATTGTATGCTCTCGTCTATCGAAGGGATATCTAGTCACTAAGGAGGAGGAGAAGGGGAGAGGTTGGATACCTTCCTATACACTTCATCTTCAGACCAGGAGCCCATCCAAACCTAACCATTGGGGGTTCAAGGTTAGGGGGGTTCAGGGGCTTCAGGGAGTTCAAGGTCTTCAAGGGGTTCTAGGAGGATCACACCAGGATACACTTGATGAAACCTTTAATGGAGTAACTGTGCTCATCGAAGAGAATGGAATGAAATCTGGACCAGGAAGCATCCTACCTGGAGTTCAGGCTAAACCTGATAAAACCGTCCGACGAGGTTCTGTTTCTCCAGTACCCGGAGAAGTATACAAGGATAGGCCTCCTAAACATTGTCTAATGGCGACCAAATCTAAATCCTTCTCCTCCCAACCTGATGTTTATAGAAACGGGTTTTTCTTCCCAAAATCTTCTCCAGGCAAGGATTCATCCGGATATCTTGCTCGAGTACTAGAACCTGAACCCGGAGACGAAACTGGACCCGAACCTAGAGCAACATTAAACCTTATTCTGGATTCCAAGGACCCAGGTGCTAGTGAACCAGCAGGAGTAAAGGGGTTAAAAACTTCTAAACACGAAGACTTAGTAAACCATGACAGTCTTGAATTACATGAAAATTCTTCGTCAGCTCACACTAAAGACAATGACAGTGAAGCTATGGAAGAAAGAACTGACAAGGTTGATTCGGACTTTGAAACAGATAAAAATGTCAACCTTGAGGCAAGTGTTTATGTCAGACCAGATCTCGAGACTAAAAATGTTGATGAGCCGTCTCCGAAACGGTTTACAGCTTCTCTAAATGTTTGCATAAAGCCTAGATAAATCTAGAATGTTTATATTAAAATTTTACATTTGTCGTGAAGAAATATAAATATATGAATGTTTACACTCATCTTTTCTCTAAATATGTGTTTAGCTTTTGTCCGTCTTTTTGTTTGTTTGAATGAATCCAATTAACGTTAAAATTAAATAGAATAGAAGTATTGCCCCCCAAAATGTTTCTTTTTTTTGGAAATCCATCCACCAATTTGAACAGAAAATTAGCAAAATCTCAAATTTTTATATCTGTAATGTCAGAATAAAAAAGTTCCAGGTACAGAGCAAGACTTGACTTTATAATTAGCAAAGTCTTTGGTACAGAGTAACATTTAAAGGAAGTGTTCACGAAAAATGAAAGGAGGTATAGGCCTAATGCGAAAAAAGTGCTTTTGATCTTACTTTTATCTGTTGTGTCTATAAGGAGAAAATTGTTAAAAATGACTCAATAATATTTCGCTGGCGCTGGATTATCGAACATTCCTGGAAAATATGAAAATGTCGTCTTCATTATCAAAAATCCTCGAAACAGGAATAAAAGTTTTCAAAAGTAACTTAATGGATCTTAAACAACATTATGAAATATCAACTATACAGGAATGCATCGAAAAACTATCGATGATTATCGGTTGTAATATCTGAATGATTTGTTTGGACTTAAATTAATTATTTTACGATCCGAGTTGAATGTTGCAACTTTTTGAATTTGTATTGACGCTACGTTTTTTGGTATGAGTCGTCTTCACCTATTTTTCGCTGTAAGCCTGCACCCCCTTTCATTTTTCGCGAACACACCCTTTAAAAGCTAAAGTTAAGAAAGATGGGCGCAAAATGAATAATGAATAACATTATCAATGAACACAAGAATTAATACAAATGAATAAAATTCTAAAGCCGATTCATGAATAGCAAGATCTATTAATAAATTCGTATAAAAATTATTTTTTATAAATCTAAAATTTATCATTTCTATTACAGCGGAAGAAAGTTCGAAAACGTGGTTATGTTCTAAACCTGATACTGTGTGTCGGGTTTGGGCACAAATGTTATGATCAACAATTTAGTAACTGTTCTTGTGCCGAGTGCAAATATCAATTAAAGAAACTATTTCCAACATATTATTAAGCACGACGAGAACTTAAAATAAAACTATTTACTTCTTTTCTAAAATTAAAACTGTGAGAGACCGTTCATTTTCAATCAAACCTAGACCATATTCAGAACAAAAAGTACTTTCATAATTTAATGAATAGCATGAATCACTGAAATAATTTTTATCCCATCCCAGACCGAAATATATTTTCAATGAATGTGGAACTAACATCTACTTTTTTACTCCACAGAGGTTTGGTCCATCACAATCACCAAATTTTAAATAATTTTTATCTTCCAAATTTTTCTAAATTTTTTTTGCACATTATGCTTTTAAATACGGAGAGTATAGATAAATTCAAGTTTCCTCCATTTTAGATACGGAGAGTACAGATAAATTCAAGTTTCCTCTATATTCAATAAAAAATTTCCCGCATTTTTCTGTTCAATTTGATTGTAAGAACAATATGTAATATTAATTTTACAAATTTTCAATGTTTTAAGTCGTTATATTTTGGTTTATCAAAACAGAATGTATTATTTACATTTCTATTGTTTATCATTTAAATTCTATCTGTATGCGAAAAACTTGTTTTGTTACCAAATTGTGTTAATGCTTGAAAATACAGGGTGTCCCACGAAACATAATAGTTGGTGAATAGTTTTAAATGTCTTCTTCTATAATTTCTTAAGTTGTTTGATACCAAGACAATGATAAAAATATTATATGGGAGTTATGAAATAGTAAAATATATTCAAGCAAAAGATTTTTTAACGAAATAAACTGCAAAAAGCCTTTAATATCTAATACAGTATATGTAAGACGACATTCATTACTATTTATCAACTGTAATGTTGACACTGTGTATCATTGATTCAAATCTGTTAAATGTCTCAAAATCGCCACATGCTCCAAACCGTGTTTTGCACTCAAACTTTGCATTTGCTTCAAAAATGTGACATGTTCTAAAATGAAATCAATTATCATCAAAAAAATTTATTTAATTAATTGTAGGGGTTTTTTACTTAAATTTTTTATATATAAATGCATTCTTAACTATTCTGAATTAAAGTGTGGAGACAGTTTTTTTACTTCTTAAATTGACTAATATAAACAATTAAAATAACTTTGCTCGTTTGGCCCAAACCTGACACTCGATGTCAAGTTTGGGCCAAATAACGATTTGGAACTTTCTTCCCCTGTATTATCATAATTGTTACAGTGTTACTACTTTTAACATAAAGTTGTTTATTCTATTATAATTATCATTATTATTTTACTTAAACGTCTAAATTGTACTGTACTTGAATATGTCATGTACCGCCTTTCCCAGGCAATTTCAAGTGACCCTCCATTGCGATTATATCAATACAATAAAGATGACTTTTTTCTTTAAGTTTTAAGCTTTATTAGAGTTACGAGTTTACAAGTAATCAAAGAAAAGCTTTTTAATTGACAGCTTTTCTTGAGTTCTATGTTCATGCGTATCCATGCTGTTTAACAGCTTCATATAAATCAAAATTAAAATCTGAACTCTTCTTCATTTAATGATATAATCGTTTACCAATGCAATGCATGCTAAGGCGAAATTTGTTCATACAGTAAACTATTCTTTTAACAAAAATATTGAAATTCTCAGAAACCCCTTAACCGATTTGCCTCAAATCTAGATTAGGGAACTTGGGAGAAACTTTGGAACGTTCTTAGCTTAGTTTTGAGATTCGTAAGTTGAGTGTGTCCACTTGTATAGGGAAAAATAGCTAAAATCGTAATTTACGACCAAGCGTGGGTAAACGGCGTGAATATCTATGAGTATCATGGGCAACGCTGGGTTCCCAAGCTAGAATTGTTTATTTCTTGACCCCAAAGAGCTTTTAACATGTAGCTGCATATAAAAAGAGTTGAGTGTTGTTGTTGTATTCCAAATTATTATAGAGACCACGGTATAAAATCTATACACTGTCATATATCAAGTTTTAAATGCTCTTTAACCGAAATCTTAATTATTTAAAATTACTTTAAGTAAAAAATACAAATAATATTGCACAACGATTCCAGATAAAGTTTGACCGGCGCAAGCTCGGTCTGGGACTAGTTGTTGACCTCAGATTCACCTGACATTGAAAACTTCAGAAGAAAAAGCTCTAAAAACATCATGTGACTTCAAACTAGATTGTTCATGTTCAAATACACTAATCAGGCCGTTCAGTCTTTACACAAATTAAATTTTATTTTTAAGATTTAATTTTATAAAAATAACGATAGGGTAAAATGGTTATTTACAATGCTTTCGCTATATTTTTGAGGATTATTGGACATTTATAAATGTATATTGACGGACATGAGCAAATAATCTTGAGATTTCACTTTGTTAATTACTTCATACAAAGACGACTTCCCCGGGAAAAAATTCCTTGCTGGCAAGTTGAAAATGGCGGTTTAGGCAGCCCGGGTCATCTTCTCTTTCATGCTTCTTCCCTCCTCAGCTGCTAGGGTATTGAGGACGTTTGAGGCTTGAGGGTTGAATTTCATCATTTTCTGAGCGATCAGAGGATTCTCCCCACGCTGTGTTTGGAGCTTCTTTCTCTGCTCGACGAGGTCAGGGTTGGTCAACATCTCCCTGTCCTCCGTCATCTCCTCGATCACAGCCTCGTCGTAGCACTAAACAGTACAGATATTTAATACTCCCTAGGGCCCAAATTATATCCTAAATGATAATATTTTATTCCAGTGCCAATATTACATCTTTGGTAACGATATTACATCCCTAGTATCAATATTACATCAAATTTATATCCTGGATACCAATATTACATCCTGGTTACCAATAATACATCCTGGGTACCAATATTACATCTTGTGTACCAATATTACATCCCGTGTACCAATATTGCATCCTGTGTACCAATATTACATCACGTACCAAAAATCCCAGGTGTCAAAATTAAACCCAAAAACTAGTATGAATCCTCCAAACTATATGTATGAATAAATGTAAATCTTTAAGTAAAATTTAACATTTATGATATTTCTAAAAATGTATTAAATCATCACAAAAGACGTTTTTATTGGAACAATCTGAATACCTACGTTTAATGAAAAATAATTGGGTATTATGAGTATTTTGAGAAGGGATGATCATCCTTTCAAACTTAAAGTTCTTAAAGAAAGAAGATTATTTAAATTCTTACCTCAATAGGGCAGTTATACTGGTTGATTTCAATACCAAGTTTACCACAGGTAGTAAAGTTCTCAGGTTGGGGGAGATGACCCTTCAGTCCATGGTTCTCCATAGCATCCATATAGTAATCCATACCTTATAAGATACAAATATATCTCTAATTTTTAAATCACTATTCCTTTGCAAACTGATGGTATAAGAATTTGATATTTTAAACTTTGAATATTTGAAAGTGTTTTGTGTTTTAAACACTCCTCGGCAGCATGGATTTGAAGTTGATATATTACATATATTGTAAAATAGATGCGTTAAAGTGAATATAGAAATATGTAAATACTATCTGAAGTGCTACACTCGAAAAAAATTCTAAATTTGACAAAATAAAATTTTAATTTTTTTAAAAAATGGAATTTTTAAAAAGAAATTTATAATGCATATAATTTTATCCCCCAGGGTACCCATGGCCATGGGTTCTCTAAATATTCTACCAAAGCTAACATATCTATCTGTTTGTATCCAATAAACGTCAAAACGGCTGAACCGATCGGGCCCAATTTTTTTGTGGGACATCTAGGGACCCTAGGGAAGGTTTATGAATTATTGAAATTTTAAAAATTTCTGTTTTAAAGGTTTTTAATTTTGTAAAAAAATTTAAATTTTCGAAAATCCGCGAATTTTTTTTAAAATCCGCAAAATTTTTTTCATCTTTGTTTTGAAATATAAACAAAAAGAACATGTTCACAATTTAAATAGAAGATGGGCGCGAAGCGCCCTAAAAGCCTAGAAAAAAGGGCGCGAAGCGCCTTGAAGTTTTTTATTTTTGTAAAGTTTTGAAAATGCGCGAAAAAATATTATTGTTTTATGTTGTACAAAGAGAAGATGCTCACAGTAAAGCCACAATTAAAAGTTAAAATAGAAGATGGGCGCGAGGCGCCTTAAAAGCCTTGTATATATATACAAATTTATGTAAGAGCGAAGAGCTTTATTATAAAGAAATATTTACAAAAATTGTTAATACTTTAATTAAAGTATTGTTTACTTACCAATAGCATTTCTCTTGTACTTGGCATCCTTATCCCTCTGGGTGGGCCAAATCTCCTCAAAGTTTGGCACAATGTGATCTCCTCTAAATTGTAAAAATATTAAATAAAGATTTCCATTGTAATTAGCACGTTTCCATATTTCCATTGTAATTAGCACGTTTCCATATTTTCATTGTAATTAGCACGTTTCCATATTTTCATTGTAATTAGCACATTTCCATATTTTCATTGTAATTAGCAAGTTTCCATATTTTCATTGTAATTAGCACGTTTCCATATTTCCAATGTAAAGCACGTTTCCATATTTTCATTGTAATTAGCACGTTTCCATATTTTCATTGTAATTAGCACATTTCCATATTTTCATTGTAATTAGCAAGTTTCCATATTTTCATTGTAATTAGCACGTTTCCATATTTCCAATGTAAAGCACGTTTCCATATTTCCATTGTAATTAGCATGTTTCCATTTTTTTATTGTAATTAGAATGTTTCCATATTTCCATTGTAAAGCACGTTTCCATATTTCCAATGTAAAGCACGTTTCCATAGTGCCATTGTAATTAACACGTTTCCATATTTCCAATGTAAAGCACGTTTCTGTGTTTCAATTGTAAAGCACCATTCCATATTTTTATCGAATAGCACATTTCCATATATTTATTTTACGCATGTTTCAATAATTTCACATTTAAAGCACGTTTCCGTGACTTTAAGAAAATTTAGCTTTAATTAAAAAAATGCAAAGTTTTTAATATTGATTCCATTTTACAGTACACAATTAATGCGTCATTCTCTAGCTCTCCTGAGCCTCCTTTTTAGTATCATGGTAATTTAGATGTACTTGAAGATATTTATCGTGCCTTCTCTTTCGACCCCATTTTCCCATTAGATTTAGAATTTTAGTAACTTGCATTTTGTACCTTTTTAATGGGCTTGAATTTTCGAACTTACTGATGGCAATTTTGATAAAAATATCATTTATATCATTTATTCCGATACATTTAGCTAGGTTTACCGGACTCTAGCAAAAGTTCTTTAAGTGAAAGCATGAAGTGTCATAAGGGCGCAAAGTTGTACTCGTTAAATCATTTAAATTAGATTTAATTTCGTCTTATCTCGAGATTGGTGTCTCGCGGTTTGATTACATTTAAGTTCAGAGAACACCATAGTTTCAGTAGAAGTAAATATTTCCATTTACTGATAGCTCCGATTGAAGGATTCATATCTCTGATTGGATAATGAGATAGATAGAAAGATAGATGTTACCGCCATACCATTTCTATTGGTTCAGAATAGACACCAAACACATGGCTGAACCCTGATTGGATCAGGCGCTAATGGACTCGGCATAAGGAGTGAGAAGAAAGCTAGAACGACAATATTCTAAGTAAATGCACAATTTCCTCCAGATTTTCCTTAAAAACAATTGTTTGTCTAGATAAAAATCAGACATTTTGCTTTCTCAGTGAGATAACTGGAGTTTAAGCTTTTGTTACAAAAGTCTCGAAATATCCAGAATAAACTGGATTTTAAAAGGATTAAAAAACTAGAAATAACCCCTTCTAAATTACTCAAAAAAATCCAATTTTTTTCATTTTCATTCTTATTGAAGCTTTTCTGAAGTGACAGCATTGAAACTTACACTTCAATATATGTACATTATACATATATTTAGAACTTTCAGAAATGAGGTTTATTTTTTATGGATCTTCAACACAATTTTTTTTTATATTTACAAGATTATCTTTGAAGCAATTTAATCGAACTTAATCATCCGATCGTATTATTTAAAAATTGAACTAGGTCAATAATTAAAACAGTATTATCCTTTATTTTTCATGAAAAATATCATCAACAAATTCGTCTCCGTACAAGAATAGTTTTTATCTTTAACCAATCAGAGGTCTAATTTAAACCGAGTCGTTGAACCGATAAAACCAGTTCTAATTGAGCGCAACTCTCGAAGCTCTGAATACAATTTCAAGTGAAACCAACCATGTTCAAGCCGCATATCAAATTTGAGACGCGGCTCAACTTCTTTAAATTCGTAAAGTAAAAGCTAAATATTCTGCAAGTTAGGAGATATTCCAATTTTAGCCAATTCTTACAGAGTGTTAAGTTCGATAAGTCGATTTCGTCTTCAGTCAAGTTTACATAAAAAACATGCAAGGTTGTCTGATTTGCTTTAAAACTGGCAACAACCGAACAACTCGCACTTTATACACAATGCACCATGTTTCAAATAAATGAAAGATAAAATATGGACCCCCCTTCCCCCTTTCCAACCCCCCCCCCTCTTGTCTCTTTCTATTATAGTATTTTAGAACTTGAAACAGTAGTAAATTGTTTTAAATTTCTGGCGCAAGAACTTTCTGCCAGCTTTCTCCGGCTTGACTGTAGTTGGTCGGATGCCAAGAATGTTGTTGGAAAACAGAATTGGAGAAATATATTTAATTTGTTTCTACTACAGAATAAACATTACCCCAATCTTTTAGGAATTTAAATGCGATTTAAAATCTTTTTGAGATATTGGTGAAATTTTTACTCAATTTTTTATTGAGCATTTGCTATTGTTTTAGCACTGAAAAATGATCAAACTTTTATCTGTAAATTTTAGACAAGACATTTCAAATACTTCATTTTACTGTGCATATTGAAGATTGAAAATTCTTTAAAAATATTTGATTTTTTTACTGCTTTGTCTTTCATGAAGCGTAGCTTCGTAATAAATCTTAAATAAGATGCTTTCCCAGCCAAATATTGAAGGCAGACCAGAAGCAAATTTGTCAAATTTTTTACCGCTATATTTTTAAACTAAATTCTGTCCGCACATAATAACTGATTTATAGACACAATAGACAGCTTTAAATATGCAGATTTATGTCTCAATAGATTTAATTTGAAAATTTCGTCTGACGTGAAAAATCAGTTTTAGAAATTTGTTTGTCTTCATTTTGTTTTGAAAGTTTGCCGTAAACATTATATCTACATTTATTGCATTGTTTTGTCATTTCCAATGCTAAACAAACAACGATAAAATAATTAACAGTTTGTTGTTTAAAGGTGAATCGGTTACGGCATTTTTGAATAAATGTCCATCTAAAATATGGAAACCTTTTTACTGAAACATTTGTTAGAACTTAAAATATCTCATTAAAACTGTATAAATGAAAAATACCTTTTCTCCAAGTTATTAAAAAAAATTTAAGTTAAAAATGAATTGTTAAAAAAATAACATTTTTTTGGAATGTTCAGGTGCAGAGATGGTAAAAAAATAGCATTTTATTGGAATGTTCAGGTGCAGAAATAGTAAAAAAATAATATTTTATTGGAATGTTCAGGTGCAGAAATGGTAAAAAAATAACATTTTATTCGAATGTTTAGGTGCAGAAATGGTAAAAAAATAACATTTTATTCGAATGTTCAGGTGCAGAAATGATAAAAAAATAAAATTTTTACTGGAATTTTTAGGTGCAGAAATGGTAAAAAAGTACCATTTTATTCGAATGTTCAGGTGCAAATATGGTAAAAAAATAACATTTTATTGGAATGTTCAGGTGCAGAAATAGTAAAAAAATAACATTTTATTGGAATGTTTAGGTGCAGAAATGGTTAAAAAATAACATTTTATTCGAATGTTCAGGTAAAAAAATGTTAAAAAAAAATTAACTTTTATTGGAATGTTCAGGTGCAGAAATGGTAAAAAATAACATTTTACTCGAATGTTCAGGTGCAGAAATGGTAAAAAAATAACTTTTTTACTGGAATGTTTAGGTGCAGAAATGGTAAAAAATTACCATTTTATTCGAATGTTCAGGTGCGAAAATGGTAAAAAAATAACATTTTATTGGAATGTTCAGTTGCGAAAATGTTAAAAAAATAACATTTTATTGGAATGTTCAGGTGCAAAAATGGTAAAAAAATAACATTTTATTGGAATGTTCAGGTGCAGAAATGGTAAAAAAATAACATTTTATTGGAATGTTCAGGTGCAGAAATGGTAAAAAAAAACATTTTATTCGAATGTTCAGGTGCAGAAATAGTAAAAAGTTCAAAAATTCTAAAAAATTACTTATTGCAACATTATCACAGAAATTGTGGTAAGCAAATATTGGTTTTGAACTAAAAATTAGTAAAAATTTTGGAATTGTTTGACGCCATTAATAATGCCGATGCTAAAACATGCCATGCCAGTGCCATTGACGAATGCACTTTATAAATGCAGACTCTGTTAATAATACGTTAACAGTCCCTTTAAAGTTCTAAATATTTATAAATATATATTTATATATACCTCTCCACCACCATCTCGAGTCTGGTTCCAGCGTTCTTGATGCTGTTGACAATAGTGCTGTGAGACAACTCAAACACCTCCTGACCGTTAATACTCCAAACATAGTCCCACTCCTAAACAATATTATTAAAGGGATTGTTAAAGTAATTTCAAGAGGCCCGCAGTGCAAAGATTGCAATGCCTGATTCACAGCGGTACCTTTGAAACCTTGATCTGATCAATAATGTGTAAGATATTGTTGAAAATTGGGCATTTCCATCTTCGCATGGAGGGTCACTTGAAATTATGCTTACAGTCCCTTTAGGCTGCAGTAGGACCCCATCATCTGTGGAATTAAGAAACATGATAAAATGATAAAAGTTGTCCAATACACATGAAAAACTGCTATTGTGCAGTGTACACAGACCTATTTCACTTATTAAGTTGATTGCTTAAATTGTGTCTTACAATTCCACAGCATCATTGTGGCTGAAATCATTTTTCGAAAAAAAGTTTAACTACTTCAGAATCCTTTACCTTGAGAAAGAGTTTGCTTAATTTCAAGCGGTTCTTTATCAAATTAATCTCTTTTTAAGACAGAAAAACGACGATATCTTTCTATTTTAGAGGTTTAAAAAGAACCGTTGTGAATCAGACATGTAACGCTTTAGATTAAGTAGAACTTGAAATTACGCTGACAATCAGTTTGATGCTGTACAACAACCAGAGGTCAAAGTAATCTATTTCATTACCTTAAGTCCTGCCTTCTCAGCTGGGCTGTATGGCTTGATTCTGCCTAGTTTCACTGTCAAGGCCTGGTCTTTGCCTCCAACAATAACAAAGCCCCAGGGTGCTCCCTGCGCCCTCTCCATTACAGCTGTAATCATTTCCTTCGGCATTATAACCTAGTTCAGTCCGTCTGAAAAATATATTATAATCTTCAAATCAGAATTACCAATTATAGAAAGGAATTAAGTCTTTGCCGCAAACTCAAATTTTCTAATCCTCATATCTTTGCAACCATAAATAAACCATTAATATTTTTTTAAATAGTTTTAAATAAGGCCTCCAACATTGGGTTGCAAAGAAATATGGATTACAAAATTTTGTCGTAAAGACTCAAATTCTTTCTGATTGAGAGAGAGGTAGTTGAACTAGGCACGACTGGTTCAACTTCTTCATCTGTAAGGTGGTTAAGCGATCCAATTAATTGAAACAAACTATCATTATGTGAGTTACTGGTTCTTCATTGTTTGCCCATTTAAAAAAGGTTTCTTGGGAGTTAAATAATTTTACATCTTCACAACACTTTCAACTGAAAATCTAGTTTTATGCAACCATCTCTATATAACCATGGAAGCATTGATTGTTTTAAAAAAAAAAATACTTAAAGTTTTTTTTTATAAAAACTTTTTCTGGAGTCTTTTTAGATTTGAGTATATTCATTATCGAAAACCTATTTTCACAAACTGGAATTGCACTTACTCTCTAAAAATAATTGCTAAGTGCCTTTTTTAATATTCTATTTTTGGCCAAGACTTTATTCTTTTTAGAAGCAAACCTACATGGACTTATTATAATTATGATAAAAAGAAAGGTATCTAACTCTTCAGTAAACTTTTTTAACATGTCACACCTTGCTATATGTAGCATCTAGGTTGCACATTTATTAGAAAGCCCGTTTAAAAAGGTTCCGCCCTTAATTTCTCAATGTTTCTAAAAGTTTATCATTCTTAAGGTCTTTACGGATCCAGATTGATGCGGAAAAATAGCACTGTTTTGAAAAAAGAAAGAGTAATTTGAAACTTCATATGTGAAATTAAATGAAGCTTTTCTTCTTTATTTTGAATTTTAAAATTGGCATGACATCAATTGAATATATTTAATTTAACATACAGGGTTATTCGCCAAAAATAAGATTTTAATGACGACCTAAAACTTTTAAAATGATAATTTGACGTTTCTAGAAGGCTCGTAGATTTCTACAGACAAACAGGAAATAGCCTAATTTTCTTAAAATTCCTTTGACGATCATTTCTGAAGAAGATTTTCAGATGAGAATGAGTCACCCAGTTCTTATCTACTCTCTCTCTGACACACACACACAGAAACACACTCACACAAACACAATGCTAGGGTTGTGAGTCTAGTTCTCCTACTGAGACAATAGGTGAGCTTGAGGCAAGCTACTGCTACTAGCTGGGGCCGGTCAGGACCAAGGTTAACAGGACCGGACACTAGCAGGACACAGGGGGACCAGGAATAATTAAATAATAACAAACTATGTATTTATGAAAAATTTTAACTAAAATTGTTGAATTTTTAACAAAATTTTTTTTATAAAAAAATATTTTTTTCACAGGAACTTTTTCTATGCATTATTTTCGGGTCCCTGATTCACTATACACAACAAATACCACACCTTGTGTGACCTAACATCATATTGCAAGATATCTATTTACGTACAAGTACAAACATTATACAATATACACCATGTACAAAGAACATTCTATACAACGTTAAGCTATGGTGTTGTACATTGTACAAGCATGATTAATATACGTTGGTAAGTTGATTTATTTTGATAAAAAATTTCAAAATATTCGCTTTAAAAATATTTAATCACAACATTAAAGCATATTTTTTACTGGATGGCTATATATAGATTACCCCAATATACTGCATAGTACAGTGCACAGTGTATACTGTACAATTTATTGCATGATGCAAATGTAAATTGTACAGTGTACACTACACTAACTGTACCACTAAAAAAACATGGATTTTTTACGATTAAATTTAATCTTCACATTTTTTTGTTTTTGGTAAAAAAATTCTTATTTTACTTGGACATTGTTTTTACTTGAGTTTTCTTTCTTTTTTATTTTCCCACGTTTAATTCTCCTTTGTGGTTTTTCTTCTTCTTCTCCTTCTTTTTCTTTTTCTTCTTCTTCTTCTTGATCTTCTTTTGTTTTCTCTTCCTTTCAGTAAAATTAAATCCCTCTTCTTGAATCCTGCTCCTTTAAAGAACAAATATGTTAGATCAAAAAAAGGAAATGGTTGTAAATGCTCATTAACAAAGTTTTGAAAATTAAGAATTCAAATAAAAAAAATTATCATAACTTATGAAATTAAATATATCATGAAAACTTTTAGGATTTGGGATCATCTGTGATCAATTGAAAAATAGTTGAGATCATCAATGGTTTAAAAAGAGTTTATCTGAAAAATTTGTTTAAATAAATTTAAAATTGAAATTCATTGAAAAATGTTTGAACACATTTACATTTTGGCTTGTCTGCTCGTTTGTTTATATCAACTAAACGTCAAAAATTTTAGAAATATGATAAAATTCACGATATATCGTACACAAACAAAAATGGCGACTTGAAAACAACGTTTAAAACTTTAAAAAAAGACGCGAATGCCTAGTGAATCCCAGATATAAGAATACATAGCAAGAGTTCTTCATATTGTCGTATTACATATTTAAGATCAAATGCCGCGGAAATGAGTTTAATATCAATATATCAATTGAATTCATATTTCAGGGCTATTAATTTACCTGGATTTAAAAAATAAAAGAAAGTTTCTATAGAATTGTCAAACAACTTCTGACGGTATTCATATATCTGGGATTCACTGAAGATTATTTATCATTATTTTCGTTTAAGAATGTTATTGTTAAATCACCGAATTTTTTTTTCTATTTTTAAACATACCGTCTTGTGGCTTTCCCTATATTATATAACATATTTGAAAATAAACACATTTGCTCATTATACTAACTTCAAAAGCTTTCCTTTTTAACAAGCATATTTTACATTTCTGATTTAAAACATAATATAAAATTCAAAGCCTTACACACATTCCTTTATGTAAAAAGTTTTATTTTTCAATTTGCTTTTTTAATTAATGAAGGGATAAAGAATGAAAAATAATCTTTTAAACATGAAGAGCTAAAATATTTAAAAAAAGTTGTTCTCAAAAAATGTATCTCTTTTAAGCTGACAAAGATTTTTAGTATTTTCATGTATTGTTAATGAAAACGTGAAAATGTAATTGGATGATGAGATAGATAGAAAGATTATAGATGATACTGCAAAACAACTTCAATTGGTTCAGAATAGACACCAAACACATGTCTGAACCCTGATTGGATCAGGCGCTTTTGGAATCGCATACAAGTGTGATGGTTTTCTGCATATCCTCTATAAATAATATAGAGTCTTAAAAAGACGCAATTTCTGGAATAATTGGAATACCCCCAGTTTTCTTGTTATTAGGCTCGTTATTTAATAATGGGAATATCACTATCAGTAGAGCAGTTTTTGAAAAATATTTTAATTTGGATAGTGACAATAAATGAACTAATCTAGGAAAAAATAGACTTTCTTGACTTTGGAATTTCAGAATTTTGTTTTTTACGAAATAGACATTTTGCTTTTTGATGCAACTTAGAGTGGTCAAGAAAACTTCGGAGCTTGACTTTACAGAAAATTGTTGCTTCAGAATCTTGTCTTTTGGGATGCTGTTTTTCTAGATTTTTCCATGACACCATTTTACCAACCTTCAGAGTTAGCAGAACTGCGCTTCGTTGAGGATCAAATTTTTTCGTGGCATTTCCCGCTGATCCAGCAGAGTCGGGAGGTCCACTTCGGTGTTTCTAAAAATATTTTTTAAATTTTTGTCAAGTTTGTTTCTATTCTTTCTATTTTTATCTTCAGTGATAACCGGAAAACTGTAGAATAGGAAGACGACATTATAGCAATACTGAAATGCATTTGATGCTGCTACAAAGCAAATAGCTTTACTCGCAAGTTATTAAATCACTTATTAAGTAAAATGGGACTGTTTACACTGCTTAATAGCTGTGTCTCATGCTCATTGGACAATTTAAGGTATTAACTTGTTCTTAAAAGTCAACTTACTATTCCAGAGTTTTCTGGTTATCAATGTATTATTTTCTATTATGTTCTACTCTATTCTTCTATATTCTGTTCTATTGTAGAGGAGCCAGCATGTCGTCTTTGATCTGAGCTTAGTCCAAATCAAATATATATACAAGATCAGTTTTATTAACCTCATGTTGTATAAGTTAGAATCACTGTACATTATGTTTTATTCTTTGGCTTGTTATTGTCACTACATTTTGGTGACTCCGTAGTGATAAAGTCAAATCTCTCACTGAAGTATTTGAAATTGGTTTCGACCGAATCCCTGTGCTTTTCAAACCCAGATATCAGTGCAGGATTTGGGTGATTTGAGAGTTTATTTCTTTTTTAAGCTATTTCCGTAGTGATACTTGAAGAAAATGCCGCCACAAATCCTGATCCAGTCCTGTTGACGATCTTTTCAAGCAAGATTCTGACGGTCTGGATGGATTCAATAGAGGGATGGTTTCTCCGGACTGAGGCCCAGTTTGAGAACAAGACATTAACCTCATAATGGACCAAGTTTACGCACTGTGTTGCTCCTCTACTGCAAGATGTTACCTTCCGGCTCCTGGATTTGGTCAGTTCTCCATCGGCAGATCCTCATGAAGCTCTGAGAAGGCGTCTTATCCAGATTAATATTTTAAGTGATTTCCAGCATTATCATGCACTAAAGAGTCTGCCTCTCCTGTATGATCAATAACCAAGGGGGGGGGCAGGACCTTTGATTATTGTTCCTGTCTGAGTTTAACTGAGAGATCTGTCATCTGCCAGGCTCAAAAATGTTCCTCCAGCTGATGCTTTGTCCAATCTTGACTCTGAGCATGATCTTAAACCTTTGTCAGTCTCAGATCCAACCTGTCCTGACTCCGAGAATGATCTTTAACCTTTGTCAGTCTCAGATTCAACCTGTCCTGACTTCGAGAATGATCTTTAACCTTTTTCAGTCTCAGATCCAACCTGTCCTGAATCCGAGAATAATCTTTGACCTTTGTCAGTCTCAGATTCAACCTGTCCTGACTCCGAGAATGATCTTTAACCTTTGTCAGTCTCACAACCTGTCCTGACTCCGAGAATGATCTTTAACCTTTGTCAGTCTCAGATTCAACCTGTCCTGACTTCGAGAATGATCTTTAACCTTTTTCAGTCTCAGATCCAACCTGTCCTGAATCCGAGAATAATCTTTGACCTTTGTCAGTCTCAGATTCAACCTGTCCTGACTCCGAGAATGATCTTTAACCTTTGTCAGTCTCAGATTCAACCTGTCTTGACTCCGAGAATGATCTCTAACCCTCTTCGTCTGTCCAACCTGTCCTGACTACATGATTTTCATCTCAATCTCAGATCCAACCCTAGTTTCTCCAGTTGCTGTTTCTCCCATATCTCCCCCTTCTCCGCCACCTGTTCCTGGAATATCTTTCACAGAAATGGAAAAACTTCAGCAGATACTTCCTAATGTCAAATCTGTCTGCCTTTCTGCAGCCTTAAAAATTGTACCTGTATATGTTTCCGGCTCCGTTCTCTTCTGTGATGGTTCAATAGGAGTTCTACAACCTCTGGTGACCGAGTTAATGCGGAAAAAAGATTTTGATAATATTTACAAGATAGATCTCATCCTGGAAAATGGGCTTCTAGAAGGTTGGTTTCAAGGAGTTTTGTGTGGGAATTTCTCTCCAAGGATTTCAACCTCTGGTTGGAGTCCCGTTTAGATAATCAGCAAAGTAAGATCCAGGTTCATGTCAAAGCTCCACTTCAACAGATTCCAGTTCCCAGTAAAACATTTTTCCATATCCACGAAGATCTATTAGGCCCTCTCCCTCAGTCCCAAGGTTTTTCCTATTTATTTAAAATTGTAGCAATTCTACAAACCACAGCAGAGATTAGCTGGGAATGATTGATATTCTCTCCTGCCATTGGTTTTACTAGGATTAAGAAGTTTTCCCAGAGAAGGTTCTTCAGTTTCCACTCCTGAGGCTTTGTTTGGTGCTCCTCTGGTACTTCCTGCAGGTGAATACCTAGATAGTCCTGAACTCCCTGCAGAAGAATATCTCCAATTGGTTCAGCAGGTATCAAGAACAACCCTGTTTCTCCTCCTAAACATGTTCCAGGTTCGACAGTTCCATCGTCTCTCCTGTCTGCAGCTTATGTGTTTATCTGAGAAGACTTGTCCAAACCTCTGCTGTCTCCGCTGTACAGAGGCAGGTACAGGGTGCTGTCTTGAACCCCACAATATTTTATCGTCCAGATTGGTTCCAAGCATGACTCCATTGAATGTCTGAAACCTGTCCTTTCAGAGACTCCAGAAATACCTCAGCGGCCGCCCTGCAGAGGTCGTCCTCAAGCTCTGATACCTCTATGGAAAGGTATGAACCCGAGTAGACATGTTTGAATGTCTCCTGAAGTTGATCTCCATTTGGGAATAAAAGGGAATCCAAGACGTTCTGTAAAAAATAAAACTCGACCTTACAACTTTTCCTACACTTTGGTGCTGGGGGCCTGTAGAGGAGCAAGAATGTCGTCTTTGATCTGGAATTGGTCCAAACCAAATATATGTACAAGATCAGTTTTATTAACCTCATGTTGTAAGTTAGAACTATTCTATTTTATCTTATCTTACAGTGAAACCCTTAATAACGAATACATCGGAAGAATTTATCAAATGTCGTCTTGAAATTTTTTCAATGAGTTTTATACTATATTACGTAAATTTCAGTATTTGCGAAAGTAAATGAATAGCCATGAATATGCGGGAACAGTTTTAAAGAGTTCCATAAAATCATTTAATCAAAAAATTAAATATCTGCAACATTCCGTTATCAGAAAGTGAAGAGTACGACATTGATGAATTCTTTCGATGTATTCGTTATTAAGGGTTTCACTGTATAATATTTTGTTCTATTCTATTCTATTATTCTACTCTATTCTATTATATTCTATTCTATTCTATTCTATTCTATTCTATTCTATTCTATTCTATTCTATTCTATTCTATTCTATTCTATTCTATTCTATTATTCTATTCTATTCTATTCTATTCTATTCTATTCTATTCTATTCTATTCTATTCTATTCTATTCTATTCTATTCTATTCTATTATTCTATTCTATTCTATTATATTCTATCCAATTCTATTCTCCACCTGCGCATTTGCCGCAATAATTTTCTCTGCTGCTTCAGGGAAATCCAAAATAACTTTTTCCTCTCTCATATCTTCAATAGTGGAATCTAAAAACAGAAATGTTAGATATTCTTTTCCAAAGGGTTCTTGCTGTGACGAAAGAAATTAAGTTCTTGCCACAAACTCTGATTTCCTATATATGTACTTGAAAATATTAAAATTTGCATAATCATGTTGGCTAGAACTCATTTCCTTTCAGAGATAATGTGATGTACTTTATGAGATTTAAATTTTTATTAAAGGATTTTTAGATATATTGAATTAAAGTTGAATACGTCAATAAGAATGATATGATCTTTCGCTTCAGGATTATTATTGATTTAATTCTTATTTTTAAAAAATTAAAAAATTCGTTTTAAACCTCAATAGTTGAAAGTAATATGTTTCTTTGGTAAAAAGTTATTTTGAATTTTCTAATTTCTTTTCATAAAATTGACTAATATAGGAAATATTTTAGTTCAGAGATTCGAGTTTCACAAACTTTTTTAATCTAAAAATATTCCAATAAGAATTAGCTTTCCAGAAAATTCCTAAAAGTTAGAAAGAAATTTTAGACTTGTTTGAAACACAACACGGAATGTGAAAATTCTCTTTTTAGGCCTACGTAGTACAACTTAGTTTAAGCAAATTGTTAAAAATTGAATTAACAATCATTTGTTACTGTTTAGATTTAAACTTGGAACTTTTTAAAATTTTAAAATTTAAAATATTTTTGACAATGAAAGTGTATAAGTTTACACAATATAATAGTTTATGATGATTGTTTGATTTTAAAACATATTTAACTGACCTTGCATAATTAAAAATTGTAAAGATTAAAATAATAAAATGATAATAATAATGATGTTAATAAAAGTCAAATAATAGGTAATTAACATACAAGAATAGATTTCCGTCTAAAAAACTGTAAACTTACATATTAGAAATTGGATTTCAAACGTATAGCAAGAAAAATACATTTATATCTATCCGTAGGAACAAAAATTTTCTTATTTTGTTCATTCTTTAAAGGGACAGACCGGCTATGTAAGGTAGGTAAACTGAGTATGCAGTGTTGTGGACAAATGTTTTAGGATTCATTTGAGATGTATAACTTTTCCACGATGTATAATTACTGAGTTTGAGTGCATAACCGACGTTCAAAATCATGAATTTGGGTGGGTACGTTTTCAGAATCGGTTTTTTAAAAAATTATTAAATAACGACGACGGAAAAAAAGTAAAAAATAGAGTAAACTAATTAGATGGTTAGGAACATATATTTCCCAAAAGAAATTTGTCATTAAATCAAGCTAGATTCAACTATTTCGTTTTCATCATTATATTGAATTTCTTATTTTCTAGAAATGCATTTGTAGATTTCTTCAAATTCTCCAAATGTCGTCTTTTAAATAATACTTCCAGAAAATCTGAAGAAAATCTTTGTGAATAATGAGAAAATAGAAACTAATAATTTAACAAGATTACTTATTTTCGATGATAAGATTAATTTTTATTTTCTCAACCTGTTCCTAAACAACTAATTAGTTTACTGTAGAGTTTTGTTTACATTTTTTGTCGTCGTTATTTAATAATTAAAAAAAAACAATTCTTAAAACGTATCCACCCAAAAGTACGATTTTAAACGTCGACTTTGCGCTCAAACTCAGGATTTACAGATCTTTAAAAAGTTTTATTTGTCTCAAATGAATCCAAAAGAATTTTTCCACAACACTGCATACTCAGTTCAACTACTTTATATAGCTGGTCTGTCCCTTTAAGTTCCTAAGAATTTAAACGATTTCAAATCAATCCCAATTAAAGGGATTGTAACCTTTCTCCGGATTGTAAGCTTAATAAAAGTGATTTCTCAGTTAGACAATGCTGTATAATGATTTTAGAGATAGTAACTAAAAAATTACTGATGAGAGTCAATGAAGGGATTGCATTGTATACAAGGAGATTCACTTTTAAAAAAGAAGATAGTCTCTTTAAAATAGTGAAATAATAATATTAAACGTATCCTCGTTGACGTAAAACTATTAATTGCAAGTAAGATTGAAAACTTAGAAATGTTTTCAATCATAATTCCTCTTGTTTAAGACCTTTTGCAAAAAATAAAAATGTTTTTAATAAAGATATTAAACCGGATACATTTGCTTTTCTCATAAAATCAAAACTAGAGAAGCTACGAGATCACAAAGACGCAAATGTCGCAAAAATTTTGACCGATCTCCTTGTGTTACCTGAGTAACAATCTATAGGATTGTTGTACTGTTTGACCTCTATACCCAGTTTACCAACGGTAGTAAAGTTGTCAGGTTGGGGAAGGTGTCCCAGACCATGATGTTGCATAGCCTAAGAGTAAAACATTTAGACAATTCTGCTGCGAAGCATTTTTCGGAATGCCTTCAATTATAACTATTACAACTAATAACAGAAAAATACTTGTAGGTTCAGTGGCGTAAATAAGGAGGGTTATTGGGGTTATTTACCCCCCCCCCCCCTAGAATTTAAAAATTTGATTTTAAAATATCTTTTAAAGGAATTGAGTCTTTGCCACAAACTCTGATTTTCTAATCACTATATCTGTGATACCAAAGTTGTAGACCTTAGATATTTCAAACTATGAATTCTGTTAAATCAAATAATCAGAGTTTGAAATATCATAGGTATACAACATCGGGTTCTAAAGATATTGGGGTTTAAATATTTGATTTTGTCACAAAGACTCAATTCCTTTGCACGAAAATAATTTAAATATGCAGTTACTTCAGATATTTCAGATTTTAAGTCAACATATACTAAATGATTCTAAAGTAATAGTCAATTTCATTACAATTAGATTATTTTTAATAAAAAAATGGGTATGGGAGCAATGAAAAATACATTTTTACTTCTAAATAATGTCATTTCCATATTAGATTTATTTAAGATCTTAAAATACTAAATTGACGACAAGAAAATTTTAGAAATTAGAAATAAGAATATAAACAAAGACAATATTTTTTCAAAGTTTTGCAGAGTAGCTTTTCTAAAGATTTAAAAAAGTAACATCTTTTTCCTCTTAGAGTAAAACTATTATTTTTTATCTTATCTAAAATAAATTCAGTTTTTTAAAGCTCTTTGTATTTAATGTAAAATGAATGACTATAATGAAGTATATAAAACAAGGTGAAAGCTGAAAGGTATGAAATGAAGCTTTATTTGATGGAGTTTTTAAAGGCCAGAAATGAGTGGAAAATGCAAATCAAACCCAATTAAAACCAATAATTTGATATACATCATGATATTTTTCTAGGATGGGGGGTAAAAAAATTTCGTCACGCTTTGCGCGCCAAATTAAAAAATTTACCCCCCCCCCCCCACAGAATCCTTATTTACGCCCCTGTGTAGGTTTACTATAAAAATACATACTAATCAATAGTCTGAAAAATATAGTAGGTTGAAAACTTGAAAAGTTAATTTAAATATATACATCTACCTACCTCCATTATGTATTCCATTCCCATTTTCTTATTCTTCTTTTTGTCTGCAATTCCTGCTTTACTGTGCTGGGGCCAAATCTCATCAAAGCTGGGAACTATGAAGGTTCCTCTAAAGTAAAAAACAAGTTAATGTTTTATTCTTCAAACTTTTTTAGCTTTTCAATTATTTAACTTCTTTCCCGACGATTCATTACTTGAGTTTTGTAAACAGCTAGTACAAGAAAGGTTTTCAAAGCCATTCAAAACATTTAATTCACTTAAATAGTTTCTAAAAAGTAGTGTGCCTATTACTAACTCCATAAGAAATTATTGAATTTATTATAAATGGGAAAAATCGACTATTCAAATCCAACTAATATCGTCTTTAAAAAATTGAAGTGTACCCAATTTGATTTTGTAGATTTTTAACTTGGATCTCCTACCCGATACGATCAACCAAGATCGAACTTATTCAATTAATGTCGTCTTTCAAAATAAATCGAACCATGATGTGTACACAATTTTATTTTCGTAGATTTTCTCGTTGAGTTACCTTTCAATTTCTATTTTGAGAGTTTTACCGCTGTTCTGGATTTCCTTTGTAATCTCAGGTTGGGACATTGCAAACACCTCCTAAATACATTTTTTTAAGTCAACAACTTAAAAAAATCATCTACTTTGAGAAAATGATCAATTGGAAACTCGACTTTGCCTGGAAACTAATATGTCAATTTTCGTAGAATTGTTAAACCAAGCTTTTCATGGCTCTACAAAGTTCCCATTAAAATTTTAGACAAATCGGTCCAGGGGTTCATGAGTTATGATCGGACATACAAACTTTTTTTTCTTTCAAAAAGGATATTTTACCTTTCCGTTGATTGTTACAACATAATCCATTTTCTCCAGTCCAAATCTATCTGCTGGAGAGAACCTCTGCAACATATAAAAGTATTAAGTTTTGAGGAAGGGAAAAGAATAAATCAACCAATGGAATTTAATCAAAAGTCAGAACTTTTGAGGTTGTGAATTTCGGGATTATGTATTGCAGACCTACGAATTAATTTAATTTATCTTAGATATTCCATGGCGGTTATTCCGTGCACAGAGATTATAAAAAGCTCACATAGATATAGAGATTATGATTATTTATTAATAAGTAGGAATTAACTGTGTTAACATAAACCTCAAAATATCAATTACTTTACTTTTTTCCAAATAGAGAGTGTTTTTGTTTACAAAATGAATTACCAATAAAATTACATAGAATCTGAAGAATCTAATTCAGAACTAACGGACGTATAAAATAGCGGATAATATTTTTAACATTCTCTATGTTCTTGAAAATCTTATTAAAACATGAAATATGAAATAAAACCAAACATATCAGATTTAGATCTTAGGTACAATATACGTGAACGGTATACACATATCTCTAGTATTACCTTAACACTGGCAACCTTAGCAGTGAGAGCTAGATCAGCTCCACCCTGGATAGTGAACCCCCATTTCTGGTTCAGGGTATCCCGTTCCATCTCAATACTTATCAGTTCTTTCACCATCCTGGAGACACTGGAGTTACTAGAGATACTAACGTTACTGGAGTTATTGAAGATTCTGAGAAGTCAAACCAGAAATTATAATGTTTAGCCCAGATCTTTCATCGGATACTAAAAACCAAACGAGGTAAGAGTGATTTAAGTAAATAATCAACCTAAGCTACTGGATTATAACAAAAATCTGAGCCCCATTTTGAACTTAATGATTTAATGAATACATTTATATTTTGAAAACTTTTGAAAACTTTGTTTTTTTTATATCATTTTAGAAACGACGACTTCTAAGATCATCTTGAAATGCACCAAAGTACTTGAGTAACATGATCTTTCAAAACATTCAAGTGGCCACTTAGATAAAAGCAGGAATTTTAAAAATGTCTAAATCTCACAATTTTCATCTTTAACATGAACTATTTCTCCAGAACATTCCTGAAACTGCATTTTAGACAAGGTGGCGTCCTTGAAGCAGGAGAAGGGGTGGGAAGGTAATAGGGGGGGGGGTAAGGGGTAAAAGATAAGGAGGAAAAAAGGAAGAAAATCCACCCGATTAAAACAGAAAAATTAATGCTTTGAAGAAAAAAATCCGATTCGCAACGGTACCCTTGAAACGTTTATTTAATAAAGATGTTGAAGATATTGTCGTTTTTCTAGGTTTAACTCTGATAATTCCCATATAGATAGTTTATAGTTTCCTGCGGTGGAACTGCGCAAATCACTTTTGTAGAGAAACCTCAAGCTAAAATAAAAAGTGTACAAAACGTGATAAAAAATTATAAATATTAATATCTGATTCATAAATAATTCAGACAAAGCTGATATGGGTCCCGATGGGAATCGGGCAGTGCCATTTTTGCATGGGTAGGGTCACTTGAAATTATGTATACAGTCCCTTCACAGAAATATTTTCCCCCGGGAATTCTTCAGGTATTCTACAGTGGTAGGCGATTATATCAATACAATGAAGACGATTTTTTATTTAAGTTTTAATTGTTTTTTTCGAATTTCAAGTTTACAAGTAATCAAAACGAAGCTTTAATAATTGACAGATTCTCTTGACTTCTATGTGTATGTGTATCCATGCTGTTAAACAGCTTGATATACATTAAAATTGAACTCGAAAGTCGTCTTCATTATATTGATGTAATTGCCTACCAATGTATTCTAAGATGACAAGTATAAAAACGGCTAAAAATTAAAAATAAAAGACCCTTGGTTTTGGATTCCTGTAACCTTCCCTAAATTCTGTATTGTGTTAAATCATAAATGTAAAATAACCCTGACAGATCTACGTTTCTACAATCTAGGCTCTATGCATGGAGAACTTGGCCTTTTTTAGACAAACACTCTCAAAATAGAGATAAATCTTGACAGACAGGTGTCTTAACATTCTATTATCTACACATTTATAATAATAAGAAGAAGATAAAACTTTTAAAAATATAAAAATATAAAAACCATGAAATAATGTCAACAACATGAATATTGAACAATGTACATTGTTAACAATATGAACATTGTTAACAAAATTAAGAATTTTATCAATGTCAACATGAACATATTACTAACAACATGAATATTGGTAACAATGTTAAAATTTTCAACAATATGAACATCTCTGACATGAACATTGTTAACAACACGAACATAGCAAACAATTTTGAACATTGTTAACAACATGAACATTATTAACAACATGAATATTGTTAACAACATGAACATTGTTAACAACATGAGCATTGTTAACAGCACGAATATTGTTAACAGCACAATCATTGTTTACTACAAGAGCACTGTTAATAAGATTAAAAAATTTAACAATATGAACATTTCAAACAATGTTTAACATTTTAATTTTAACATGAACATTACAAATAATATTAAACATTGTTACAATAATATGAACATTTTTAACAACATGAAAATCATTAACAACATAAACATTGTTAACACATGAACTTTGCGAACAATATTTAACATTGTTCATGTTAACTGAACATTGTTAAAAATATGAACATTGTTAAAAATATGAACATTAAGTTAACAACATGAACATATGGTTGTTAACAACATGAACATCATTAACAACATAACATTGTTTACAATATGAACATTATTTACAACATGAAAATTGTTAACAATATGAACAATGTTAAAGAGACCGTATAGGCTGAAACCTAAGTTACTTAGGATTTGATTGTTCTATCTGATGTTATCTATTATTGTCACGTGTCTATGTAAGTATCACGTGACCAGTATATTGCACTGCCATTGAGTCCTGGTCACGTATTAATAATTATACGCATAATTATGTATAATAATAATCAATTAAATCTATTAAAAATGAAAAATAATTAAATTTAAATAATAATGGGAGCAAACCTAAGCTACTTAGGCTCCTCTGTGATATCATTGTTCTCAAATTGGTCGCGTATTTGCTGAAAATGATCTGTTTAACCCTACTATTTTTATACAAAATTTGGTATATACCGATTTTTGTATAAAGGAATTGAGTCTTTGTCACAAACTTTGATTTTCTAATCTCTATATCTTTGTAATCCGATGCCGCAGACCCTAGATATTTAAAACTATGAATTCTGTTACATGAAAAAATCTAAGTTTGAAATATCAAAGGTTTACACCATCAGGTGGAAAAAATGTAGGTATTAGAAAATCAGAGTTTGTTACAAAAACTCAATTCCTTTGATGCAGTTTTATATCAATTTCTCAAGACAGTAACTTCAAATAGAACTCTCATGGGTCCCGATTAACGATCCTAAGATACTTAGATTGCATCATATACCCCCGTTTCATTTTTCCTGTACAGTCCCTTTAACAACATGATAATTGTGAACAATATGAACAAAAATCATTGCTCGTTTATCTACAGTAACAAAGCAATAAACTTGTTTCCATTGTTTCAAAAAATTCAACTTCATTTGAAAACAATGTATGCAAAAAGCTAAATTATGCTTTCTTCAAAAACAATTGTTCCTAGATACACGTAATAAAACCTGTGTTAGTTCGCCTTTGGATTTCTGGAAAACTATGACTTAATTTATTTTCATAATTTTTTAAAATTGATTTTAAAGTGTTTTCTGGTTTTCCTGAGTTTTCTGAGTATCCTGAGTATCCTATGTATCCTGCTACCCGGAGAAGTTTAAGGTTTGAACTGCACCTGACTCCCGAGTCCTTTAACAACCCCGGAGCTAGATTGCAGAATCCGTCCCTGGGGAAAAAAGTGTTAAGATTGCGTAAACTGCGGACTTCCATGTAAGAGGGGGGGGGGGGTGGAGTAGCTACAATAGTTTTGTAATATAAATCTTATAGAGTATAGTATCGTCATTCTGACTGTGAAAAAATTTAATAAAATAAAAAAATAATAAATGACTTTTCAAACACCCCAGGTGTGCAAAATTGCTCAATTTCAACTACCTGAAAAATTTGGCATTCTTTGAAAACTTGCAAGCACACATATACAAACTCACACTCTACAAAAATACCCAACAAATAGCTGCAGCAAATCCACCAAATGCAACTTATGCATTTTAACTCAATCTCTAGGATGCAAAGCAAGAAACAAAATTAAATGTATGAGTATTTAGCAAAATCAGATTTATAAGTACATCACAGATATTTACGCAAAAGTATTTTTAATCTATCTATGCTTTCATATATTTAAAGGTTTCATAATGGTTTCAAGTGCATCATAATTCATGCGTCAACATTTTTGTGTGGTAGAGTCCTTTTTATTTCTAGTTGAAAATGTTCATAAATCATATAAAATCTAAAATATTTTGTTTCTAAATAGGCATGTTTGATTATAATGCTGGCCATAAAATTGATAGTAATGATACTATATAATAATGAAATAATGACAATAATCTATATATATATATATATATAAAGTATCGTTAAATAACTACAATTAAGCCTTTGTCCGATTGTCTCAAATTTTGATTTTACAGAGAAAGATTTGTCTCAAATTTTGGTTTGGGAACTAGAGAACTACGAAAATATTCTTAGGTTTGTTTAACGCTTCTAAATTGAGTTGCTTTTTAGATGGCAAGCTCATAGTTGACAGACAAAGCTAGGTTTCCAAGCTATAATAAAAGTGTAATTGTAATGACATGTTTTGATGATTAAGGTTCAAATATAAAAAAACAGTTGTTAACCATTAATTTTAAAACCTCTATAAAATGTCGTCTTCTACTGGAATCTCCTGTCGGAGACAGCCAAACCAAATTTTCAGCCCGCAAATTCCATTGTCCTCCTCCGACGGAGCTTAAAATATTTTCGTTGTTGTGAAATCATTAAAGTTAAGCAAAATATTTTCATAAGAAGCATAAGTGAATTTCGTTAAATATTCAACTGTAATTTTTCAGAAGTTAAAAAAACGTATTTCAATACTGATCAACAAATAAGTCACCCCTTCTATCCTTAAATAATTCGTAAGATTTTTTCTACTATTAACATTCATTATAACATTGTACAATTAAACATGACCTATAATTTATGTTATTTTTTAGGAAATAAAGATTTTGTTATCGAATTTCTGAGACGGGGTTACTCTGTTGTTTGTGTATTTGTGCGGCCTATCGGGAAAGAATTGTCTGGGGATAATCGACATCCCCCACCAGAATCCTAACCGGCCTATTATCCTGATTTGTCTAGCGTGTTGCTGTTTTCCGTCAACAACAGTATAGTTAATGTTTAAAGGGACTGTATAATAAGTGACCTGCAGTTATTTAAAAAGAACCATTATTATTCCTGATTAATAACGGGAACCTTGAAACCTTAATATGATCAATTATGTGGAAGATAACGTTGTTTCTGATTTGAAAAGAGATAAATTCTGTTAATTTCTTCCTTCTTTATAGATAACCGCACACAACATAATTGTTTATGTAGGGAAGACGCTTCGAAGCCACAAATGAAAATGTCAGTTTAAAAAACATAAATATTGTTCAGTCAATTAGCTTTGAAGTTTAAAGGGTACCGTTGTGAATATGACTTGTAACACTAAGACACTTGAAATTATGTTTACAAACCCTTAGATATATAGTTACTTGCGTATACACAATGATAACATTAATATGTTAAATCCGTTAAGTGTTAACTCATTCTTTTATAGTGAAACCCTTAATAACGAATACATCGAAAGAATTCATCAAATGTCGTATTCTTCACTTTCTAATAATGGAATGTTGCAGATATTTAGTTTTTTAATTAAATGATTATATGGAACTCTTTAAAACTGTTCCCACATATTCATGGCTATTTATTTATTTTCGCAAATACTGAAATTTACGTAATATAGTATAAAACTCATTGAAAAATTGTCAAGACGACATTTGATAAATTCTTCCGATGTATTCGTTATTAAGGGTTTCACTGTAGTTATAATCATTTATCATTAGCTTGAACTGTCAATGTGAACTTTTAGCAAATAATTCGAAAAATTTCAAGGAAGCCAACTAGAGAGGATGCAGTTACAGACTTAGTCAGGTAAAATTCCATTTTTTTAATTTAGGAGGGGGGGGGGGCACCGCTCCAAGGAGGGGGCACACCACACTGTTTTCAAGTTTTTTTTTAGTATTGTCCCATACCTTCTGGACCCGTTGTACTTTTTTAATGGAGGGCGGGGGGGTTTACATCTCAGTAAATATTGAAAGCACAAAAAACGCAGACCACTTTTTGGAAATGCCAGGGCTAGGAGAATTATGTGATAATTGTTTCAAGAATCATACATGTTATAGTAGATAGTAGACTAAATGTCACAATTAAATTCAAATACCAAAGACGACTTTCAAGTCGTCTTCCAATTGTCATGTTTCGTGGGACACCCTGTATCAAGTACAATTCCAGATGTAAATCCTAGGGATTTTGAGATCAATCATTTGCTCCCATGGGAAGGGCTTTTACAAATATTTCACTCTATGTCCCAGTACTCTAATCCTTATAAATGTCTTTTATAGCCTTTTCTCTAGATATCACTCAGGAGTATAAATGAATAGGATTTATCAGCTACATACTTATATTTAAGCACATCAGTATAGGTTTACTCTTGTTTGATCGGTTACTTTGATATCCTGAAACTGGGGTTCAGCTGCTCCAGTTCAGGATCTGTTTGAGCCGCAGCAGCTGGTACGAGAGCAATTGGCTGCTCCAGATATGTAAAAAGCTGTCTGTCAAGAGTAGCGTTTCCAATATCAGGATGGGGAAGCATCTAGTATCCTTGGAATCCTAGTTCTCCTCTGTATGAATACTCTAGTGTTCTGTATCTCAAGTGTCTCTGTTCGGTACTGTTGTGAATCAACCATTTGAAATTGTGTCTTCAGCCCTTATTTTTTCACAAACGCTAGTAGATTTATTAAAATAAATAAAATGCAATGTAAATTCCATTTATTCATAAGGTTCATTCAAATCAAATATGATTCAGTTTTCATAGTAAACGTGATTCCATGCACGTTACAACGGGTTCATTATTCAAATATAGAATAGTGATATCATTCTACAGTGTAAACAGCTCAGGACCATTTTGAGCTTTACAGTCATACGGGTTTACATATATAAATATTCAAATATGTTTATTGTTCAGGGTACATAAAGTACACCGGTCGATATATAAACAGGTGGTCAAGAAAATGTGATATTCTATTAGTGCGTTTTATGATACATTTTCTAGCCACCCTATATCACAATTTAGGGAAAAAATGTATGCGCAAGCTGCTTGAAAGACGGAATGCAAATCTTCTCGTAAAATTATTGGCACTTGATTTTATTGTTGCATAAAGTTTGAACGTAGAACATTATGACCTTCTTCATGTACTTCTACCGACCCTCCTCGGCCTGGCCACCGCTCAGATCGGTCAACTCATCGAGATGCTTCTGCTTCTTCCTCACGTTCCAGTGCACACACTCGGCCAGGGAATCGAACCAGTCACTGATCTGATCCTACGAGAAAATAAACATTAAAATTGTTTTCAACAAAAGAAAAAGAAATATTTTTTTAGAATTTGTTTAAGATACACAAAAATCTATAGCTTGAATTTAAAACTCCAAAGAAACTGAGTTTTTGTCAAAAACTAAAATTTTCCAATCCCATATTTCTGTGAAAATATCTTTGAAACCTGATGGTATAAACCTTTGATATTTCCAACTAAAACATTTAGTGAAGTTTATTAAACAACATGCATTATAGATCAGATCGACTCATATATTTATTAAAACATTTTCATACCTGTGAGCAGATCGATGGAATCGGATGGATACTGGTGTTAACCCTCAAGCTGTCACCATGACACAGTTCCTGTCGCTTCCTCCCGTCGAAGGAGACCCACGCCGTGTTCCTGCTGTCGGGGCTGACGGAGATCTTGAGCTCTACCCCGGCAGGAACCACGATAGGACGGAACGAGAGAGAGTGAGGACAGATAGGAGTAACCATGACTGCTGGGACAGCGGGATGTATCATACTTGCTCCAGCAGCAACAGCATAGGCTGTACTTCCAGTAGGGGGTAGAGACAATCAAACCATCACCCTGAAAAAAATAAGAGTTTAGAATCAACTCTGCTATAATTTTAAGCCACATTAAAGATAAGGTTTTTTAGCCTAATAAAAAGTAGGCTTTCAAAGTGTTGAAAACTTAAAGTTGTATAGTATCTGATATTAATGTCAATAAAAATTTCAGTTCACATTGATAATTAAAGACACTTTATATCTTAAAACCTTAATTAGCTCATATCTTAAAATAGTCCCAAGATGAAGATTGTCTTTCAAATGTTTAGCCGGAAATAGGATTTTTAAGTAGAGACCACAAATTTTTCAATTAATTTCAAAATAGATTTTTTAGTAACGAAAAATGAATAAACCTGAACCGATGTGATGAGCTTGCCGTCAAGGTAGAGATCTATATTGGAGAGATAAGGAGATGGTCCTCGGTCTATAACAACCTCGTTCAACACCAACTGGTTTGTGCTTGAGTCCAACTACAAATATTAAACATTTAATTCTTTTGTTAAAATTAAAAATTCACAAAGAAAATGCGCAAAAAGGCCTTTGCAAATTTCGCAATATTCAAATTTATTTGAATCGAAAATGACAGAGGATAGGCTGCTTGAATTTATGTCTTCGACTAGAAGTTCTCAAGATACAAGTGACATACTAATCTATACAAATGATAACCAATCGTTCCTAGCAACCAGAATAATGCTAGTTTATAGTTCACCATTCTTTGATGTTCTGTTAAATGGACCGTTCAAGAAAGGAAAGAAATTAGAACGTCAACAAACTTCAACAATATATTTGAATATGACAAAAGATGAGCTGTATCCAGTTTTAGCTCGAGCGATGTACGGTGAAGGCGAGATCAACGATAAGAATGTGAAAGATATGATTAAAGTTGCTGATTTCCTCGGGATCAGCACAATTGTTGAAGAATGTGAATTATTCCTTGAGAAAATCTTGAATCCAGAGAACGTTGTGGAGCTCTACATGTTTGCACTGGATTACTTTTTCATAAATTTGAAAGCTTCAGCCCTGAATTTTATACTGAACNAGAACGTATTTTTGATATTGAGGACATGCTTAATGTTGAAAATATGCTAGGTATGGTGGGGAATGCCATCGGAGAGCAAAATCAACAATTTGATGAAGAAATTGATTCTAATTCAGATTCCAGCGTTGATACAACTACTAGTTCATCATCTGATAGCGAGGATGAAGGACTAGATGATGGAGATTGGGCTGATCTTCCCCTACTTCTTCAAGAAAATGTCCTGATGGATTTTAATCTAACTGATAGTGATGATGATGATGATTGGAATTAGCAGAGAACAGTCTCTTTATTATGTATTTAATCTATTTAATAAAATCAGAAAAAGCTGTTTTTAAAATCTTTTATGAAATAAAACTTTATTACAATGCTTTTCTTCTCTTCTTCCTTCTTCAAAATACTATTGCTCCTTTTATATTATTTGTTTTTGGTTCAGCTGGAGAGTATATCCTGGTCTGTAGTTGGACTAGCTGGTTTGTAGTTGGACTAGGTGGTTTGAGTTGGACTAGCTGGTTTGTAGTTGGACTAGCTCGTCCTAGCGTTCTTAGCTGTTTTGTATCCCCAGTGTCTCTGTTCATAGATCCAGCTGATGAGTATATCCTGTTCTGTAGTTAGTCTAGCTGGTTTGTAGGTGGACTAGCTCGTCCTAGCTGTTCTGTATCTCCAGTGTCTCTGTTGATAGATCCAGCTGGAGAGTATATTCTGTTCTGTAGTTAGTCTAGCTGGTTTGTAGTTGGACTAGCTCGTCCTAGCTGTTCTGTATCTCCAGTGTCTCTGTTCATAGATCCAGCTGGAGAGTATATCCTGGTCTGTAATTGGACTGGCTCATTCAAGCTGTCCTAGCTGTGTCTCCAGTGGTTCCGTCCTAGAACTAGCTGGAGAGTAAAGACTGGATCCTCTGGTTCTGCTGATGCTATTACAACACTCCTGATCAAGTGCACAAACGAGGGTGGTTAACCCCTGTGTTTGTCTCTCCTAAATCTTATTGTAATTCTCAATTCTACAAACGAGTATGGTTAACCCTAATGTTTGTCTCTCCTAAACCATCTGGAGAGTTAAGAGCGTTCTCTAATATTCTCAGTGATGCTGAGGACTCCGAGGATGTATATTCCTGTATAATGATGAGGAAGGAGGCCAGTGTCCTCCTTAGCTCCCTGGTAGGCATGATAAAGATATATCAGTCTGATAGTAGTCCAATGTGCAGGTACTACTGGTACCCAGGCCTTGTTTGTACAAACGGAGAATTATCTTTACGTCTGTACTGTTCAAAGATCCTGGGTGCACTAATCCTATTCTCCAGGTTTAGAGATAGGGTTGAGGGGTTTTTGTTAATCTGATCATAATCTAAATATTACACGATGCTTTAAATACTACAGAGAGAGCTGCTATGAAGCAGTTCAAGTTGACTCTGCTGTTAACTCTGTGTTGTAGTATTTTCTATGGAGAAAAAAATATTTGTAAATAATGTATTTTAGAAAACTAAACTGTCCAGGTATAGTTTAACTGCGTTCTTGGCAGGAGTTTTCTGCACCGTTGAAAACTGAATATTTGTTTGTTTATACTTGTAAAATATTTTCCAACAACTTTAATATACAGGGTGTCCCAAAAAACATGGGAATTCAGTGACGAATTCGATATCGTCTTTGTTCTGAATTAGCATTGTAATACCTAATTTCAAAAGCCATAATATTATTATGTCTGCTAGAGTTTATTTTATGAAAACGGTAAAAGACTGTAAAGATGTGTCTATAATGTCTCCGCACCATGAACAGTGAAGACGGACAAGTTTACTCTGTTTGTATACTGCAATTTTCTTGTTTTACTAAGTGATTAGAAAATTTTAGTTTGTGGCAAAAACTCAGTTCCTTTGCCCCCAACTGAATGAATGCTCCCAAATATAAAAATATCCTGAATTGGTACGGTATTTTTTCATGCTTGAGTATAATACACTTTTTTCTTGCCCCCCCCCCCTGAAATGTTTAGGGGGGGGCAAAAAAATTTTTTGAAGGTCGACTCTGATCTTTAATTCCCTATCTTGTTCCATGCGAGTTATTGAAAAATGTATAGAGTAAGCAACAAATAAATTAGCTCTTAGGTTTTACTTGTTAAACTTTATTGAATTGAGAAGCTATATATAAATCGATATCATATTGAGATTTGAGTTAAAGGCCAGAAACCATAAATGAATGTAATAATATCCGAAAATATTAACCTGCAAACTGAAAACGTTTTTGCTTTATATTATACATTAAAAGAACTGTCTGCAATAAAACTTGAAGAAGAAGCATGAAAATCTTTAGTTTTCCCAAAATCAACAAAATCGAATTTTATAAAAGTGCAAGCAAATATTCTCCTAAAGCCTTTTATTTTATATAAAATTTTGATTATACTCCATATCGTTACTTTTTGCTTTATAATAAAATAAAATAATTATAAATAGATATTAGCTTGAAACGAATTTATAATTGAAACAGAAGAAATATTTTTAAACCACTCTATCTCATATTAAATACATTTTCTTCCGAACTATAAGCCAAACAATTGATTTATAAAGTACTCATTTTTTAAATTTAAATAAAAATTAACACATACAGGGTTACCCACAAAGGATGAAACTTCATAGACGACGGTGAGGAATTTACAATGTCTGTTTCATTAACTTAATGATTTCCAGCAACTGCAAACTGTATTTTCTTTCGCCAAATCATTAAAAGCCATTATAGTTTATAAGCTGACAATCTTCAAGGCAGAATATTTAAATTAACCACGAGATCCACGATTATTCTATTAGAGGTTTACATTCAGTATTTGATTCTAAATGTCGTCTTGATAATTCTGCATTTTAAAAATTGGCCTTCTTTCAATAGAGGGACTCGTGGTTTCAAGCAAACATTGCAATACCTGATATACGACACCCTTGCTGCCTTAATCTGATAAATATGTGGAAGATACATAGATAAATATCTATAAATATCTATGGGAAGATACCTTCGGATTCCTAACTTAAATAATGTTTAAATTAACTGATAATTTCTCCATTGCTTCCAATAAGCAGGAAATGCGCAAGTCACTTCAACAGAGAACCCCAAATGAAAATAATCAGTTTAAAGAACTAAAACTTATAATTTTAATAACTTATATCACACAATGCTTTTAAGGTTACAGTAATAACCCGGACAAATATACCATCTGAATTTATGGTTTGTCACTTGCAATTACGCTTACAGTCCCTTTAAACAAAGGTTAACCTTTAAATAGACTGAAAACGAAATTTCAAGTTACCCGGCCATTTTTAAAGTGAAATTTCAGATCTAACTTATTTATACAAGATTAAACCTAAGATTGCTTCTTTTTTTAAAGGTTTAATTTTCTATTGTCGATTCTCTTAATACTTAAGCATTTCTGCTTCAGCAAAAATATGGAGAATATTGTCAGAAATTACACTTCAAGTCAGACATACGGAAGCCATGAGCCACAACCTTACGGTCTTCCTTGCTACAGCATTAAAAAAACAGCTTTGTAATTGAGATTTTCAAAAATCCAGCGGTCCGTGATGCAAAAGTATATATAAAGATCTTATTCTTAACGTTTAAGTTTTCAACTGAAATAATGACGATTCTTTCAGTGTTAACTGCTTAACTTATTTCCCCCAAAAAATAAAAATTTTCCTCTTATTTTGAAAACCTTATGAACATTAAAAAAATTGAGAGAAGAAAAGTTGCATCACATGGGCTCCTGAAAATTTATTTCAAATTTTGCTCTAAATCACTGATCAAATACTGTTCTGGAGAATAAAACACTTAAATTCCTTGTTCTCCTGGTGGTGCTGGGTCTGAGGTATATTTTCTTCTTTGGATCTATCTTCTGGATCAGCTGCTACGAGACTATGAATATTCTCCTCTAACAAGTACATATATAAGAAATATTACAGTGTTCCATTAGAGCTCCTATATTTCAATCTGTTCTATATCTACATGGTTTACATGTAGTCAATGTGAATCGCTGATATAAAGTTAACACAATATTATAATATCTAAAATTGAACTTATTCAATATGGCTGGAAAAGGATCTGGTAAGAAAACTGGAGGTAAAACTGGTTCTCCTGCTAAACCTCTAACACCTAAGGATTCTGTATCATGTATTGTGAACAAGGTTACTGTAGCTACTCTGTGTGATAGTCTAAACCAGCTAAAGATCAGCCTAGGTCAAACCCCAGACCAGCAACAGAATCTGGATATTGTGGATACAGGGGAACAGGTGGATATAAGAGAAGTCATCTCTAACCTTATCTCTGCTGTTCAAGCTATTACCAGCAATGTAAACAAGATTAAATCTACTCGAGAAGAACAGGAAACCAAGATTAGATGGCAAGGAGATGAGATTGACGAAATTAGACAACGAGGTTTCAAGGGTAATGTGATAGTTTCTAGCTTACCAAATCAAGCTCAAGGAAAAGTCTCCTTGATAAAAAATGACGAGGAACTAAGGAGAGAGAAGATTACAATGCAATCTCATATTATCAAACTAGTACAGGAGAAATATGACATCACAATTCCAGAATCAGATATTCAGGCCTGCCATCGCCTTCCAAACAAGTCTGTTCTCCTAAAAATCTGGAATAGAAAGGAAGGGTTAGCTTGGGAAAACCTAGTACGGAAGATTAAATCGCCAGAAAACAACTCTTTCAATGTTTATTTCAACTTCCAGCTGACAAATAAACGTTCCAATCTTCTATACGAGTGTCGGATGTTGAAGAAGACAGGCAAGATTGACAAATTCTATTCTGATGAGAACGGGCATATCAAACTGAAGATCAAGAAAGATTCTAATGATAAGGTCAGGATTACATATGTCTCTAAAAATCCTCAGGAATTCTTAGATAAAATTTACCAAGGTTTGAAAAAGGATGAATCTGAATATACCTTGGGAGTATTCTTAGATCTAAAAAAAGCCTTTGATACTGTTGACTTTGAAATACTTTTAGGAAAGCTGAATCATTATGGGTTCAGAGGTATCACTAACGAATGGTTTAGAAATTATTTAACAAGCAGAACGCAATATGTAAATTTAGGAGAATTTGAGTCATCTCTTAAAAAGATTTTATGTGGTATACCTCAAGGGTCGGTTTTAGGGCCAATACTCTTTTTACTGTATATAAATGACCTTCCTAATTGTACATCTTTTTTTGCTTCTCTTTTTGCTGATGATACAGGTTTCCTTAAATCCTCCAGTAATCTACATCAACTTTTTTCGTCTGCTAATGTAGAGCTCTCTAAAGCAGCATGTTGGTTTCACGCAAACAAACTTACTCTTAATGTTTCTAAAACTAAATTTATTTTGTTTAGGAAAAAAAATATGCCTTTTGATGATCAACAATACAAATTAATGATTGGGGACGAAACTATCGAAAGAATAGGGTTAGGTTGTAAAGAAAAATATTTTAAATTTGTAGGAGTTAGATTTGATGAGTTTCTAAAATGGGATTTTCAATTAGAACACATATGTGCTAAAATTTCAAGTGCGATATTTGCACTAAGAAAGTAAAACATATCCTTCCTTTGAGAATTAGAAAATTAATATATGATAGTCTTATTAAAAGTCAACTAGAGTATGGTATTTTATCTTGGGGTCCGTCAGTAAATAGTAGATTAGGTAAATTATCTACTCTTCAGAAAAAAGCTCTACGAGTTCTAGCATATAAAGGTTATGCTGCACACGCAGATCCACTTTTTCTGAAACTTGAAATTCTAATACTAAAAGACATGATCAAATTTAATTCTGCTGTTTTTATGTTTAAATATATGAATGGCAAACTTCCATTATCTTTTAATGGAATGTTTTTAGCGTTAGCAGAACCAAACAGAACAAAAAGTTATAAATTAGAATTTGTTAACAATAAATATCTAGAAAGTTTTCCTACGGTTTTTCTTCCAAGGACCTGGAACTCTATTCCATTGGAAATAAAATCATTAGGCACCCTAGCAAGTTTTAAAACAAGTCTTAAAAAAAGTTTTCTTGAAGAATATAGTTCTTTTCGTTGTATAAATCGAAATTGCTTTTCTTGCTAAATCTTGATTCTATCCCCTGTTATTATAACAAAACAAAATAAAACATAAACATTATAAACTTTGTGTGCTGGGTTGTCCCCCTCCCCCAACGATCCATTCTTCTTCTTTTCCTTTCTATTCTTCAATACCTTTCCTCTATCTACTACTTTTCATTTTCCTCCTTTTCCTTTTGTTCTAAATTGTTTTTGTTTTAATTGGTTTTATTTAAATTGAACATGGATGTATCGCTGCAGAAGGGCCTCTCATTCAAAACAACCAACAATGGTTAGAGAGGCCCTGGCTAAATTAAAATGTAACAATTGTGAAACTTAAAGTGTTTTTAATTAAATATTTAGTCAAATATATATCTATCTATCCGGGATGTGGTCGCTCTAGGAGGAGCGAGGGAAGGCAGGCGGCCATGAGCCACCACTATTTCCTCTTCCATGCCACATATTAGCTTTTTTCTCTTCCTTCAGCCATGAGCCACCCCTATTTCCCCTTTCGTACAACCACATTTGACTCTTCCGGCCTAAACTACTTTTTTAAATGGTATATTTAGGGCCTTTAAAGTGTGATTTTAAAAAATCCAGCCACGTCACGCAAAAAAGCACAACTCAAACCATTTTTTCAATTCTACTGAAGATTAATATTTTGTGTGTTGAATTCTTAAACTCTTTTACAATGAAATTTTTGACAAATTTGGCCGAGTATTGCATCTTGAAATATCAAAAAGTTGGTTAAAGAGTGATTTTAAGATGAATTTAGTATAATGAATCAGTAATAGAGTAATCATTAGACTTTGTGATATTTCAAGATGCAATACTCAGTCAAATTTGTCAATAATTTCATTGTAAAACACAGTTTAAGAATTCAACACACAAATTATTAATCTTTAGTAGAGCTGAAAAAATGGTTTAAGTTGTGCATTTTTTGTGTGGCGCGGCTGGATTTTTAAAATCCCACTTTTAAGGGCCTAAATATACCATTTAAAAAAGTAGTTTTGCCCGGAAGAGTCAAATGTGGTGGTACGGAAGGGGAAATACTGGAGGCTCATGGCTGCCGGAAGAGAAAAAAGCTAATATGTGGCACAGAAGGGGAAATAGTGGTGGCTCATGGCCGCCTGCCTTCCCCCGCTCCTAGGAGAATACATTTTTATTTATTTGCCTCATAACTCATTATTCGATCCTTCAACCTAAAATTATCATCTTTTCCCTGTTTATCTCTCTTTCTCCTCAATCATAATAATTCAAAAGCTTATCAAACTTTTTATTGTCGTCTCGACATGGCAGATTTATAGTCTACAAACTATACTGGTAAAATACATGTTAACTAACCAAACAAAATGGCGGTTCAGACAAAATGGTGCCTAAACGGAAAACAAAATATTTTCACAAATTGCATAGCTAATGTATATAGATTACATACAGGATTAAATACGTGGAAAATTTTGGCAAATTCAGGGAATCAGAGGGTAAATGGCGGGTTTCACTTTGGTACATAACATCGACTTGGAAAATGTACAATGTACACAATAATTGAAATAATTCGGGAATAAATTCTCATTACGGTTCTTTAAGCAGTCATCAAAACTATTAAAACAGATCATGTTTAAGTTGTATCAAAGTTAATATGACCACAGTTGGTTAGTATATAGATGACACTACAGCAAAACAGAAATTAACAAAACATGAAGCTGACATAACACGTATATATTAAAAATAATAAATGATCTATATTAAATATAGAAGATTTGATATTCTAACATTTCGAGATTTATACTCAATACTGATTTTTCAAAGTCTTGAAGACTCGTGAATTTAAATTTGTTGAAAATTTGGTTTAATTTCGTCAAAAATACAGTTTAGTTATTATATTAACGACGCGTTAATTCCTATAAAAAATTGTGTGATTTGTATAAAAATTAGATTTTGCATATTTTTATCACACCCCAGGGGAAGCTGTAGTTGCATCACCAGATCGTTTTTAATTAATTACATAATTTTTAGTTCAGGATTTCACCGGTAGATGGTAGAAAGGTTACAGAACAAAATCGTTTTTTATAGCAATCATGTGAAAAGGAACTAAAAACCTTCAGTAAAATTAAAGTAAAATTTTAAGCGTTTTAGAATACATAAAACTGTTAATGACTGTGGGGCAATATAGAATATATTTACATTTATACAAAGGATAACTAATAAAGCTAAATAAAGAGTTTTTTTTCCTTAAACGGGCAAATGTGATGTCAACAGTTTTCATCAAATTTAATCAAATATTTAAGTCGTCTTTTTTTACATTTATTGGGATGAGGTTTTCAACTAGTGATGACATTTTCTATGCTTTATGGAATTATTATCGTGATGTCAGTGGAATATCAAATAAATATTGAAGCACTAATAATCTTGTTCAGTACTATTGAGGGTGTAGAGTACATTTAACCTACGCGACGGTACGCATAGCAGTACAAATGAAAGTGCAGAAACTTCGCTGCAGTACTCAAAGATTAAGGTTTAGTACAACACAAATGTAACTTCCGGACTTTCTTTTAGCGTGTAATGCCACAATAATGCTTTGATCGATATTTTCTGCTCTATGATGTGGTTTTTATATCAGATATTTTCGAATTTGTGGTAAAAATGAGGGTAAAGATACTGCTCTGAGGTGTGGTACTACTGCTGATATTATCCAGGTTGTGGTGTAAAAGAGGGTATCAAGGGTGTGGATATATTGCTGCTGGTTTCCAGGTTATAATATAAACGAGGGTATCTAAGGTGTGGTTATACTGCTGCTGATATCCAGGTTGTGGTATAAAGGAGGGTCAAGATACTGCTCTAAGGTGTGGTTATACTGCTGCTGATATCCAGGTTGTGGTATAAAGGAGGGTCAAGATACTGCACTAAGGTGTGGTTATACTGCTGCTGGTATCCAGGTTGTGGTATAAAGGAGGGTCAAGATACTGCTCTATGGTGTGGTTATACTGCTGCTGATATCCAGGTTCTGGTATAAAGGAGGGCCAAGATACTGCTCTAAAGTGTGGTTATACTGCTGCTGATATCCAGGTTGTGGTATAAAGGAGGGTCAAGATACTGCTCTAAGGTGTGGTTATACTGCTGATATTATCCATGGTTGCTATTTATAAAGGAGGTTCAACTTCTTCATCATCACTATCCTCCATACCCGGATATTGATGTTCCATCTAGAAAAAAACAACATTGGGAAATAATTTTTTTCTTCAGTAACAAAAGGCTAAAAATATTATTAAAAATAAAATTCTAGCCTATTATTGTTTAATGTAAATTTTACCTTATTGTGCTGTTGATCTAAGGATTTACTCTGCCCCCTGGCCTCTAGCCTGCAGGACGGAAAGTTCTCCTTTCCCTCGGAGCCCCTGGGGGAGTCCCCGGGACCCTTCGTGGCCTGGATAGTCAGGTTAGGTTGGGAGCTCAATGAGGCAAGGGTTGCTGCAACCTGAATAAGTGTGAAAAATTAATCAAGGGTTGGTGCAATGTTCAGATTCTAGATTCAGATAATGTGGTTTCAGGAAACAAATTTTATTTGATTTAATTTTCAGGGAATAAGATTTAGGTAAATGATCCCAATACAATTCAGTACAGTACAGTACAGTACAGTACAGTACAGTACAGTGCAGTATAGTACAGTACAGTACAGTACAGTACAGTACAGTACGTAGTACAATTAAGTAAAAAATACCTGTGCATGCCCCTGATGATTCATCTGACTGTGAGCTTGGCTCTGGGAAACTTGGGCCTAAATATTAAAAAATTCTAAAATAAGGTTTAAAATATCTAATTTTAACAAGAATTCTACTAACAAATTCTGAAGCCAGAAAAGTTTCAAATTATTTTTAATAAGGATTTTCAAAAGTTTGGAAAAATAAATGTTTTAGTGAAAATGTAACAAGATGTATCATCATAATATTAAAGCAAAGAGGAAAAGGGAAAGAGAAATTATCCTGACAAAAAAAGCAGTCAATAGAAAAAAAAATATATTTGCCGATACAAAACTCACTTAATTTGATTTGAATAATACAGTAAATAAGGAACAAAAAACTAACACTTTTTTATTAGATCTGAGCTGAAAACTTTAGAATGGTGGATATCGAGATTAATGCTTCATCCTCTCTTTTTCTCAATATAGAGACTAACCTATCCGAAAGTGTACAAAATTCAACCAATCAGAGTCGCGTATATGAAGCCGATAAATTTGAAATTTTGCGCGCCATTTCAGATTATATACAGAAACGGGAGGGACTCTCTAATTTAAAAAAACCCGTTTTTTGATTTTTCTCTACTTTATCCAAGAAAGAGCGGTTTAAGATGGAAATCAAAAATGTGTCCATTGGATACTCAGATTAAGTAATCGGGATGAAGGATATCTCATTCTAAAGTTGCCAGCCCAGGGGAAAAGAGTAAGAAAAGGAAACCAACAAGTATGATGGATCTTGAACAGCAAGACTAACCTGCTGTAATTGGTGTTGTAGCTGCTGAAGGGCTGCCGGACTCATAGCACTCTCATAATTCTCCTGCGCAGTAATATGTCATTTTAGAACGTTCTGCGCGTAACCGGAAGTAAAACTTATATGGTCTTTACCCTTAACAGGCTAGTATTTTTTGCCCTAGCACTTTCACACTTGACACTATCACCTTGACATTTTTTTACTTTTAATAAATAGAAATTTAAAGGATTTTTTGTAAGTTTTTTTTATGTAAGGGTAGGGTGAAAAGTTGAAAATTTGATGTCGAAACATGCGCCACAATTTCATATTTGTTAAAAACAAACAAATTTTTAATAACATTTTATAGACCTTCTTCTGACATTTTATTAACCTTTTTTTGACATTTTTCCTAACTCTCCCTAGCAGTAAAACTATGAGCTGGCCTTGAAATTTGGGCTATGAACATGCACTTCAAAGGCCTTTTTCTAAGGGGGGGGGGGGCCAGTCTATACATAGACTCAGGCCCCCCAGCCTTTATAGGGTTAAGAGAAACGGGGCAGGAACTCTTGCTACGTACACTGTACAGTCAAGGACCAAAATATTTTATGAACAGTACATTTCATTGATAACTCGTCTTGCAGATTTCTTCCGTTGTGTCTGGATAAGACAGAAAGGAATTTTCATCAACAAACTTAATTTCTATCTGTCCCCCCCCCCCTCCTAAATTTTCAAATAATTTTCCCCCATGCATATGAAAGGTATTTATGCCTGAAGCGAATTTTTTCAGGCTTTATTTGCTTAATTGTGGAAAATTAAGATTTTCAGGAGAAAATAAACATCTAAAGGATAAGAAGTATAAAAAAGGGTTCTAAATACCTGTTTCATATAAAACTGTGCCTCTGGGAAGGTTTTCATACCGAGGGATTTACTGAGAGCTTGATACTCTGCGTCCCGTTCTGCTCTGTGATTGGTGGAAATATGAACCTGGAGACTCTGTTTGGTTCCATAGGACCGGTCACAGTACTGACATCCAAATGGTTTCTCAGTGTACGTCTGAAATTAAGTTCATGAACAGTCATTTTTCATGAGAAAGGATCCGATAATATATTAAGACCAATAGTTGCAATTTAGTATTCTTAAAAATATACTGCAAGCAACCACAATACAAAATTTGATTTCAAAAGGATAAAAATTAAGGTTTGTTAACAAAAAGTTCTAGTTATTACGATCTTAAACAAAATAACAGGTACGAATTTAAAACCTTTAAACCAGGGGTGGCTAATGATATTTTCGAAGGGGTGAGAGATTCCCCCCCCATGCTTTTTTGCAGGGAATTTGGTCAATTTTATGTCAAACCATGAGAGGTGGAAATCTTTTCTTCATAAACAAAATTAAAGGACTAGGAGGGGGGACGTCCCACCTTCCCCCCACCCAAGCTGCCTCTTGTTTTAACGGCCAAGAATGAGAAAAGTGGAATATGAGGTACAATATAAAGCTTCTGATATCCATACTAAACAAAAATGGCGTACATTTACTTATCTTCCCAACCGGACCGTTTAAACCAAATTATTATTAAGGACTTACTTTATGTCTTCCGGATAGAATGTGTGACTTGAGATTCCCTTTGGTAGAGGATATGTGTATACACTGAGGACAGTGCCATCCTTTAGATGATCTAGCAACCTTAATAAATATATCATACAGAGGTGTATACAAGATTAGTGAAATCTATGGTTTCCACGGGGTTTCAGGCCCCAACCTTGAACCAACCTTAATCTGGAAAAATAGATCTTCATCCATAATCCAAACTTAATTTGGGAGAATGAAAACCTAACCTTAATCTGGGAGAATGGATCTTTATTCTTGAACCAACTTTTAATTGGAATAGTGGATCTTTATCCTTGAATGAATCAACTTTATTCTGAGAAAATGGATCTTTATCCATAATCCAAACTTAATTTGGGAGAATGTTGAACCAACCTTAATTTGGGAGAATGGATCTTCATCCTTCCTTGAACCAAGAGGATGAAGTTCATAACCGGTTCCGAGCAGGCGCTGCATCATTAGCGCGTTTGCCGCGGCGTTACTCATGTTGCTCTGTCCCAGAAACTGAAGCAGATTTTTACCATCAGTTCCTAAAACAGAATGAAAAGTACAGTTAAACCCTGAAGTGCAGAAAAGGCACAAAAATGATTTTGCAATTTGTGCAACCGTAATATCTCTATATAATATAGAGAGACGTGTCCGATTCAAAACAGTACCCATTAATGCTCATTGCTCATTGTACAAATTCAACAATATTTAAAAACACGAAATAAAATGTGTTCATTTAGATAGAAAATTCAATAAACTGAATTGATATTACTATCCCCTCCCCCTCTCCTATATCCAAATTAATTTCGTCTATTCCAAAATATTTTACATTTGTTCAGCCTCTCCGTTAAATTGAAAACTCGGAAGTTCATTCACTGTTTCAGAAAGTAGCTTTTTTTTGACAGATATAGTTAAGTTTGGTGTCGTATTGTTTGCACTAATGATTGATCGGACTAACGTACATTTGCACTAACGTTCATTCGGACTAACGTTTTATTTGAGGGTTAGGTTAGGTTAAGACAATTTATGGGCCGAGCGCTGCGGCTAGGACAGGCTAGGGGGCCGAGCGCCGCGGCTAGGACAGGCTAGGAGGTCGGGCGCTGCGGCCACAAGTGTTACTGATCAGCTGACTTCAGTGCAAAAGTTCTTTAGTTCAACCGGACATTAGTGCAAACGATATGGCATCTTAAGTTTTTCTGTCTTGAGGAGTGATAACAAATTTCAAAATTCTTAATTAACGTAAGTAAAAATAACAAATATAACGCGAAAGGCTAATAGTAAGATCATTGAAACGGCAGTACATTATCAGCGCTATAATTATAGGATTTAAATAATCACGAACCTAAGAGCATCAATCCTTAACAAAGCTAAAAAATCCTCTAAAATGTTTTACCTGCTGAATTTCCAGACATCAGCTGTTGCTGTTGAGAAGCAATATGAGACATATTCTGTTCATAACCCTGCTGTAAGGCAAAATTTTGGGCCTAACAAAACCAGGATCATAATTTGTAAGAAAGAGAGGACGTGGAAAATTAATTACGTAAGAAATATTTGCCAACAGGTCGATCCCTGTTATATTGGCTTCACATTTTATAAAAACCACTAGCTGAAGGGCCCGGCATTGCCCGTGAATTCTCTTTTAGCCTATACAACACCCAGGCTACCCATGAGTGACTACACAAAATTCAGCTCATTCGCTATAGCCGTTAGGCCGGCTATAGGGTACATATATACGAATGTCTCGTTTTATAAAACCATATGACGTACGTCGTACAGTGCAGACCCATTATTGTAAAGAACCGACATTAACAACAATCTTTGGTGTATTTGATGTTATTAAAAAGTATTTAGTTTTATTAGTAGATCTAAAAGCGTTAACACGGTACAATTGCTGTCTTATGTTCAATTGAACATTAATATCATATCTTGAGCCCAACGGTCGTCTTCCTAGCCCACAGTAGAATGAGTCCCACCAAATGAACAAAACATGATTTTATTTTTTAGTAATCTGTAGAAAATGTTGAACAAAACTGAGGGGGTTGAATTAAGATCTGGAATTTTCCTGAACTAGACAGTCAAGCAGATTACTTCCTTGATCTCCTTGATCTTCATCTTCTTCTTCTTCCATACCTCCACCAACACTTGCTGCAATATTTTATATTAAATTTAGAATCAAAGAAGTCTTTGTTTTTAATAAAGCTTTTTCATAGTCATACCCCCACCAACACTTGCTGCAATATTTACAATCAAATTAGGAATGCATGTCGTGTACGTATATTGTATAAATACTGTTGATCAAGTAATAGTATCTGAAATCTAGGTATACCGAGTTACCCGCTAAGAACGAGACTACAGAGACGACTGTATGGAATGTATACTGTCTGTTTTCTACTATTCATCTTCCGTCATCTTTAAAGGGAGTGTTCGCGAAAAATGAAAGGGGGTATAGGCTTAATGCGATAAAAAAGCGCTTTTGATCGCTACTAATCTTACTTCTATCTGTTGCGTCTATAAGGAGAAAATTGATAAAGACGTCTTATACCGAAGAGCGTAGCGCCCATACAAATTGAGGAAGTTGGAACATACGACTTAGACCGTAAAAAATCAAATTAATATCAAACAAATCATTCAGATATTACAACCTATAGTCATCGATTATCTTTCGCCACATTTTTATATATTTAATATTTCATACTAGTTTTGATTTTGTTTTTTAAAATAATATTTAGCTTACAACTTGTTTTCGAAAATTCCTGGAAAATATGAAAATGTCGTCTTCATTACCAAAAATCCTCGAAACAGGAATAAATGTTTTTATAAGTAACTCTCAGATCATAACAATTAAAACATATTATGAAAAATCAACTATATATAAATGTGGCGAAAGATAATCGATGACTATAGGTTGTAATATCTGAATGATTTTTTTGAAATTAAATTGATTTTTTACGGTCTAAGTCGTATTTTGCAATTTTCTCAATTTGTATGGACGCCATGTTATTCGGTATGAGACGTCTTTAACAATTTTCTCCTTACAGACGCAACAGATAGAAGTAAGATTAGTGGCGATCAAAAGCGCTTTTTTATCGCATTAAGCCTATACCCCCTTTCATTTTTCGCGAACACTCCCTTTAAGCTTGTTTCTTTGCCAAATTATTAAATAAGCCTTGAAAAGCCAATGCTTAAAACAAGAAATAAGTTAGCTTTTAAATTGTCATGTTTTGTAAGTTTCAGGTCGTCTTTACAGTTTCATCCTTGGTGGGTAACCCTGTAGATAATTTGTCAATCTTAATTAGTAATAACAATACGTACACACTGAGCTATTCCTGTCTTTAGCTGGTTGAAGTAGACCAGGCTTATTCAGATTAAATTCTCTCTTCACGGACAGCTGAGGAGGTTCCATCATCTCCTCCTCTTCCTAAAATATTAGTTTATGCTTAAACGCCGCCATTATACAATGTCGTCTTCAACAGAGGCGCAACTAGGGGGGGCAAAATACTCTTTTGCGATTCGCACACATATTCAATGAATTGACTCATATCATTCATTTTACAGCTGTTGGAAGTGTAAATTTTGTAAAAACACAAGAACAAAAAATCAATTTGAATTGAACACAGCCAAATCTGCATGCAACAACTTAAAATTTCCTTTTTTTCGACTTCAAACCCTTAAAAAAGCACTTATGTTTTTGAAAAATTTTCGAAAAATGGGGGGGGGGAAACCCCTCCTCGACCCCCCCCCCAAACCCTAACAAAATAATATATTGCCCCCCCCCCCCTAGCAAAAGTCCTATTGCGCCTCTGGTCTTCAAACGTCCCCATTACACATTATCTTCAACACCGCTATTACAAATTCTTTTTTACGCCGCCATTGCATTCACGACGACGTCTTAATCGTCGTCATTACACAATTTCTTTATTACCGCCATTGACAAGGCCGGCTTTACACCGCCATTACAGAAGATCGTCGATAACCGCCAACCATAAATTAAAGCCGTTGCTAATCAGGACCAAGGAATATACCTAGTACGTCGATATCTTTGTTTACATAAAAATTGTACCGCAGAATCTGGGAGGAATGTAAACAAGCTCATTGCTACTCAGGTTGATTTTTGTTTTGCATAACACTTTAAATGTTAACAGAGATAAGACGGTTCAGATCATGTTTATATATTAAATCCCCACCCATTTTGTGAAATTGTTTTAAATAAAAAAATATTTCAGTAAACAGGAAAATTTGAGGATCAAAGTAATTTTTCACCCTATTACTATTTCCCAGAACTTTGTTGTACCGTTGAAACTTCTATTCCCGAATTTTCATAAAAATAAAATTGTATTTTTTTTTTTGGAAAATTTGGATAAAAATATATCATAATGTAAATCTGGATAAATTAACCCACAATAGCATAATATATTCATAAAAATACATGCGCGACAGAAAAATAAAATCAGATGAATAATTTTTCTAAAAAGTATCCCCCTTCAACCCTAAAAATCCCCTAATTCAAAATTTCAAATTTTATTTTGAAGGCATCTGACCAAAAACAAATATCTAATCCAGTGAAACAAAATGTTGAAAAGAAAACAAATTACAAATAATCAAGTTTAAAGCTAGAAAAATAAGAATATATCATTCATTCGCCAAAGAATGTAAGGGATGAATCGACATTTGACATGCCATTCTATAAATAAAAGGTGCTTGAAAATACGTCATCAGTTCTTTAAATATTTATTTTTAAATATTAAATATTTAATGCTCTAAATATTATATAAATTCTCCTCCCTATAGCTGCTCCCTGAAACCTGAGAAGTCCTTGTTTGCATTATCTACTACACGCACAGATAATTTATCCATTCATTAGAGTTCAAATAAATAAATAATGCAAATCTTAATTCTCGTATTTCACCAAAAATCAATCATCCATTGTAAAAAGTTAAAATAAAAAATGCAATAAGAGAACTAAATATTTTAAACAATGGTCTCTATATCAAGCAACAAAGCAGATTTAATTTCAACATTGATAATAAATTAAATATATTCAATTTTAAGAAAGAAAAGAAGTTAAATTAATAAGATTTAGCTATAAATCCAATAGAAATGGGACTATTTTCAAAGAATTCCTTTTTTAAAACTCAATCAATGGAATAAAAACTGTCTCTAAAAATCCACCTTCATTCCGTAGGAATCTAGACCAAGTCCTCTTCAAAAATAACCGGACTGAAATACTAATTGCAAGACCGATGGTTATTATGGATCCTTTATTTTATATCAAAAACATTGATCTGCAAATGTCTCAAAATAATGGCAATCTCGAAAAAATATTACCTCCGGGAGAACTGGAGATTTGGCACTGGTGGGTGAAGAGGCGGCGGACACGCCCCCAGCTGGAGAATCAGGGCGGGCTCGTTTAAGAGGAGGTCCTGGTGTCTGCTCTGTAGATGGTCTGACCGCCAGGGAGGAAGGAAGTCCAATAGTTTTCTTTGGCACTGTGTCGGAAGACCCCTACGATAAATATTATAGTTTAATAACATTAAATAATCTGTTTATCTTAACTTACAGTGGGGTCCATAAAACTGTAGAATAGGACCTATTAACTGAAATGGGGTCGTGCTCATTGCGCAATTGCCATGATTCATGTTTATTTATCAAACTTGAGTCTTACAGTCGTCTTCCTTCTCTACAGTTTTATGGGTTTCATGGTTAATCCCCTTAAACCTAAAGATTTAAACTTTGATATTCCAACATTGATCTAGCAGAATTTGTAGGTATTCTTCATCAGGTTGCAAAGCTATATAATTAGTTCAGTTCGGTTCTTATATCTAATTAATAAACAAATGTTTATGAATAAATGCTACTCTTGCAGAATTCTTAGTTTTAATTTAATTAAATGTCAAAAGGTCTGCTGATAAATTAGGTTGCAAAGATATAAGGATCAAGAATTTTAAGTACAAAGGTTTGTGTGATACAATTAAGAGTTAGGAAATATAAGAACCTTAAACGCATTTCTGTAAAAAACCAAATTTAAGAAATCAAAGATGAAAATTGCTTGATGCGTAACCATGAATGAATATGAATGTTTCAAAGCTTGCTTTTTAGATTTTTAAGGATTTTATGAAGTCCCGATAAATATTTGCGCCAAATCTGCATATTTTGCGTCCAATTTGAATTGTGCGTCCTACCTGGGATAGTCCCTTGATTCTAAGTTCCTCTGCTGCCGCCAGGAAGTTCTGTAAATCCTCCTGGTTCACATTCACCTCACCGTTGTACATAAAGTTCAGGATAGAAAGCATATCCGGATACCGGATCCTGAACAGAATGAAAATCAATAAATATATCCGGATACCGGATCCTAAACAGAATTAAAATCAATAAATATATCCGGATACCGGATCCTAAACAGAATGAAAATCAATAAATATATCTGGATACCGGATCCTAAACAGAATTAAAATCAATAAATATATCCGGATACCGGATCCTAAACAGAATTAAAATCAATAAATATATCTGGAAACCGGATCCTAAACAGAATTAAAATCAATAAATATATCCGGATACGGATCTTTAACACTGAAAAGATTCAAATTTGATCAATCCTGATTCCAGATAAGGAACAGTTTCAATCAATAAATACATGCTGACACCGGATCACGTACTAAAAACCGAAAAAATGCATTTATGTATATATGTATATATATATATATATATAAATATATATATATATATATAGAAAAATAAAGGAAATTGTAACAAATTTAAAACGAAAAATACCAAACTAAACAGAATTATATTTCTTAATATAAAAAGAATCCCGGATATAAAATTGTAAAAACGTCTATAGTGAAATAAAATAAATATGAACCTAATTTAACAAAAAAAATAAGAATAATTGTTTCCAGGTATACGAAGTGTATTTTAGGTGCTAATTATGTTTTTACTGTGGTTGTGATATGAAGAAAATAATCAGGGTTTGCATGTTAAAACTAATTATTTACTTTTTTTAGGCCGAAATTTAAAATAAATGAATCCAATGTTGCAACAGGCGTAATTATAAGCAAGAAGCTGAAAAAGTATAATTGCCTGAATACACCCAATTATCTCTTGAAGGGCCTGTGTTTCGTAAACGAGTTAAGTCATTTAAATATTTATAATTGGACTTGGAGATAGGTAGTTAGATAGAAGAAAGCATAGAAAGGGAGAAACTGGAATTCTCACCCTCTGAGGAAGATCATAGGTTGTGGATGAGAGTTCTTCTTGAGCATAACTCGGAAGAGTGGACTGCAGGCGGAGAGGACGAGCTTGTGGGCCTTCACCGTCTCCCCCTCGCATACCTACACGTAATAAAGTAAATCCAGAGCTGAAAACTTAAGAATTGGATACCTTTAATCCCGATCGCTTAATCTTAATATATAATGTGGTCACTTTTAATTTCCTTATTAATCCGCACCTTTACTTTCTTTTTCTCTCCCTGCCAGTGTCCGACCAATGAGAGTTAACCCATAAAATGGCGCGCAAAATTTCAAATTTCCTGGCTTCTTTGATTGGCTGTTCTGGTTGCTCCAAACCCCACTGGATTGGTTTTATCATATACACTTTTATATTTACAAACTAAGATTAAATCAATCTTGCAATTAACAAAACAAGAAGATCAAGCATTGATCTCGTTATCCACAATTCTATAGTTTTCAGCTCATAAGTTTTATGTTGTGAAACTCGGGATCAAGCTTTGATCTTCAATCACCACCCTAAGCAAATATACAGATTTATCTAATTTCCGTGATGGTCATGCCCTGGAGGGATAACTTAAATTGAAGGATCAAGAATTGATCCTTAGATTAAAAGTGCCCACATTGGATTATCAAGATGAAGTGTTCCAAGATTAACAATATTCACACACAAGTTAGGATTTCGGGATGCATTGCACGGAACCGGAAGGGGGTAAGTAGGAGACAAAATAAGGGTAAATGTCGAGATTTTCGATTAGAAACAATTGATAAGAAAGAGCAAAAAATGAAAAAAATAAAAGGAAAATATTGAGTAAGAAAAAGTAAGAAATAAAAATTTAACTAAAACGAATGAATGAATTCAATAAGTTTAAAAAGAGATTAAGTATGATATCCAATTTTAAATCAAATAAAAATAAAATTGAAGACAAATAATAAGGAGCGTACAAGATAATTTGTGTAAGGGAGGGGGGCACATTAAAAATGATTTTGTACCCCCCAAAAACCTTTTTTGAAAAATATGTATACCTTTTTAACTATGTAAACTATTCGAATATATACACACTTCCATATTACAAGTGTTAATAAATTATTTATGTAATTTTTTCAGACCTCTTAATACTGTGGTGTAAGCTTCAAGGGGTGAACAATAGAGATGGAAACGTTTTTTAAAAATATCTATATTTTCATAGGATCGAAACATATTGCATTATAAATAATATCAAATATATATTGATTAATGCTTTTTCAATGAAACTTGAAAGTGAGATTTTAAAGTAGTTTTTTCTATACGATGTAATCATACTTAAATGGAATACATGCGTAATTTCAAGTGACCCTCCATTTATAGAGTGGCATGTCCGATGTACCATTGAAACCCTTTTATAGAGAAACCACAAATGAAAATAATCAGTTTCCAAAACGGGAAACGCATGGATATTTAATGCAATACTTGATCAGACAAAGCTTTGAAGGGTATAATAGGTATTGAAATTATGTCTGCAGTCACTTTAAACCTCTCAATTGATTCTATATTAATTGAACTGCTTTGTAGCCCCCACCCACAATGGATATCCCTGAAGGGAGGGGGGCGGGGTACCCGGCCCCCTACCTCCAAATAATAAGCACAAAATCGAAAGAATAATAAGAATCAAAAGTACAAATAACGGAACGAATTTCAGAACCAATGATTTAATAAATCGACGATTTTCACAACTAAGAAACTAATGAATAAGCTATTTAGTTAAACCACTAATGAAATGACCATTGAACAAAAACTAATAAATGAAAGAACTTACGAATAAAGAAAGAGCGAACGAAAGAAAACTGTTCTAACGAAGAAAACCGAACATAGATATACAAGAAACTTAAATGAGCCAAACATTTCTAAAGATATCAAATATTCTGAAGTANCCCTCCTCGAATAAATTATATAAAAAATTATTCGTTTAAGTTTGCAGAAGTATTTTGTAAATCTGAGAAATAAGTAAAATTGACCAGTTTACCATGTTCAAAAATTCGCTACGAGAATTATTTTGCCAATTTTATGCAATTCCGAACCAAAGCAGAAATGCATTGATGTCTTCAGACTTAAAAATGTATCCCGTATTATGGGTAGATTTGAATCTTAAATTTTTATGCAGAAACATTTGCTTTTGTGAGCTTCATGCTATGGATACAGAATATGGATGCAGGCGGTAAATTATTAATTTTAAATCTTGATATTTTTATTACTGTTAACTTCACCAAATTTTTTGTTATTTTGCATTTGAATTGAATTTAGAGAAAGTCGTGTTTAACCTTAAAATCTTAAGTTTGCAAATCCGATTTTTAAATAAGACATTTTAGGATAAAATACACCAAATTTACGTATTTTGAGGTAAAAACTTTGTACAACTTTGTAAAGGTACCCTTAAAAGCGTTGTCTGATCAAGTATTAATATTAAATTATAATATCCATGTTCCAGTTTTCCAAAACTGATTATTTTCAGTTGTGGGTTTCTCGGCTAAAGGGATTCGTGCATTTCTTGCTCTGAGAAACAATGGAGAAATATTAGAGTAAAATTGACGTCAGAATGATTTTAAGTCAGTAGATTTTATTGAAAAAGTAAAGTAGGCCTTTAGCTGGATAAAGTTCTTCAATATTGTCATAAATATTGAAGAATAACTGTATTATTGTTTTCAAGAAAACTGATCAGAAAATAACTTATTTTATCAAATATTAGTAAAACTATTGGAAAATATTGGGAAAATATTTTAAGAAAACCTAGGGAAGGGAAAGTGGTTAAAACTTTTAAATTTTCTGAAATAATATTAAGATTATATCAAAATTTTGAGATGACTTATTAATTTTTTATATTTCTGATTGCATTAAGATACATCAAAATTAAAAAGCTTGCTAATGATGCAATTATTCGAATATACAGTCTGTAAAGCAATCATAAGTTTTGAACAATAAATATTGAAATGATTTATTTCTGGAATATTCTTTCTTATTCCGTGCGTCGTGCATCGACCTTTAACCCCAACCTGGCGTCATCCTGCTATTAGGTAAGTATGTACTGCAATTGTACAGTATATCCGTACCTTGTAACCAAAGAGAGGGGAATTTACTAGGAAAAAAGTGTAAAACGGCCATTTTGTTTTACTGTTCCCATACTGCAGATGTACTTCACATATTTATGCTATATAACCTTTTGGGCCCTGGAATATCATTTTATAGAAAATCTAAAATTAATATTAAAAGAAAACCAAATTATGAAATAGGCAGGTTTCATAATTGACCAATGATCATTTCACATAGACTCTATGCCGTTCACTTTACAAACGATGATTTTCCGTTAGAACTACAGGGTGAGTCAAAAAAGTGTGATATACGGCGCCTGGTGCAAAAGTGTACATTTTTTCGTGCAACTCTCCTGTATGAAAATATTTAAATATTTTTTCAATTTTTTTTTTGGTACTCTAATTGCCAAAAAAAATCCGCAAACTTTTTTCTCTCAAAATCAAAAGTTCAGAAAAGCAAATATGTGTATATTAACTATTTCTATCGAAATCTAAAATTTTATAAAGATTGAATCACAGAACCACAGAAAATTGGCAAAATTGTAATAAGAAAATTCGCAATTTTCAGTCCTGTTCTAATTTAAAGGAAAAGATGTTTTTCAATGGTTCTTCAAGTTTCAACTGAACAGCGTATATTTTTTAACTTTTGAATAAACTAAGAAAAAAGGAAGTAGAGAGTTCAAATAACTTTTCCTTAAAAATTAGACCAAGACTGAAAATTGCCAATTTTCTTATTGCAATTTTGCAAATTTTCCGGGATTCTGTGATTCAATCTTTATAAAATTTTAAATTTCGATAGAAATAGTTAATATACACATATTTGCTTTTCCAAACTTTTCATTTTGCACAGAAAAAGGTACACTTTTGTACCAGGCGCCGTAAATCACACTTTTTTTGACTCACCCTGTATAAATCAAATGATGTTTTTATTCACCTAATTCATTATAAAATTTATTTAACAGCTTTAAAAAATTCGAAATTGAAATGAATCGTCTAGGGAACATACTGTATTTACTCTACTGCATATAATTTGTGAACATTTACATGATTTGTACACTTTGAACTCCCTTTCAGGCTGAAAAAGACTGAAAAAATTCATACCGAGAGATTCTCTAAATTCCCCTCTAATATATATATATTCTATTCTCTATGCTTGTAACATGTTTCGTAACACTACAATACAGTATACTGCGACAATACAATGTCGTTTACTGTGACAGTACAATATAGTATACTGTGACAGTACAACATCGTGTACTGTCACAGTAAAATACAATATTACATGATAGCACAATATCTTAAACCGTGCCAGTACAATATCGTATACCGCGACAGTACAATACCGTGCAACAGGAAGTACAATGTCGTGTACCGTCATAATAAAATACCGTGTACCGTGACAGTACAATACAGTGTACCGTGACAGTACAATATACAGAAGTGGTGTGCAAACATAAAATGTTTCAGAGAAAACAGTTCTGTAATTCCCAATAAAACGTTTTCAATTGATTTAATTTTATATTTGACAGAAATAAGAGAGAAACTGCTTTCTCCCATCAATTCCTTTTACACAAAACTATTTGAACGAAAAAGGAAAAAATTAACTCATTCATCACTTTATTGTATTGAATGAAAAAATATTCTTTTTCTTCACAAAAAGGGTCATTAAAACTATAGTTTATGTTCGTTTTTAAGTTCGTATTTGGACTTTTAAAGGCTCTACGTAAATCTGAGAAATACTTTGCCAAAGTCTTACCCTGATACAAAATACATGATAAACAACGAACCGAAATCGAACCAAAAACCATCGATTAAAAACGTAATTTTTTGGTTCGTTTTCCCATAGAATATTGAAACGTTAAAAAAGCAAACTTAATAGCAGAATACAGTTTTATTAAAAGTTAAAAAAAGAACCAAAACGGCAAACAACCCTAGTAAAAATTATGGAACCAAGAAGCAAAAAAGATTTTTAAAAATCCAGTCCATGGATCTGAAGCATTGACGAGTACATTTAAGTGTAATAGTCAATAACACAATGAAGACGTGTAAATTGATAAAATATTTTCCATGTAACGAGTATTCTGAAACGGGACTGAGAGCGTTATTTCAAGCGACTGTCCGTGCAAAAATTGCAATGCCCGATTCACAATAGTACCTTTGAAACCTTAATCTGAACAAAAACGTGGAAGATAACGTCTTTTTTTGGTCTCAAAAAGTATTTAATTAACATATTTTTTTATAAGCAAGAAATGCCCATATCACTTTTGCAAAGAAACCACAAATGAAAATTAACAGTTTTCAAAAACAAAAACATGAGTTATTATACACAATTTTTAATGGTTCAGTTGTATATCGGGCATTGTCATCTTTGCATGGAGGGTTGCTTGAAGTTACGCAAACAGTTCCATAAAAGCTAGTAAATCTTATAAAATTGAGGGATTAAAGAGTGGCGTTAAACTTACTAGTGTCACATCAAGAAAGTCGTCTTCATCTCGTATCTCTGCGAAGGCTGAAGTGATGTTTGAGTGGAAATCATTCCAGCGCAGGCAAAATTGTTCAGTTCCCATTCTAGAGAATCATTATTAAATAAATAAATTCCAAAAAAAGATTATGACAGAAAACTGATATCGTTAAATATTAATTCGCCTGAAGTTTTAGATTTCATTTTTACAAACAAGAGGGCGGAACTTATGAATGGTTAAATCTTTCAAACGTCACTAATCCAATTCTTTGTAACCTAAGAGATTAAGCATATTCATTCTGGATATCTCTCCAGACTATTGAAAGAATGCGAAAATAAGAATCAGCTCTTTTCACGGATTTATCATTAACACAATTTTTGACTGGTTGATATCTATCTCAGACTATGAAGATATGCGCAAGTATATACAAAAGTTTCGACCCCTACACGGTGAACACTGCATTTATATTTATAAAAGATAAGTCAATATAAAAGTGCAGACTTGACTTAAATCATTTTTTTTCAATTTATAACCAATGTGTAAAACCGAAATTAGTATTTTACACCCCCCCCCTCTTCTTCTATCATTTGAATTCATTCAGATACTCCAAAAAATGAAAATATTTCAAATATTTTAAAATAAAAATGTAAAATATAAATAAATATAAAAATGGATGGAAAATTTAAACACTTTCGAGCCGTTTCAACATATATTTTAATATTTTCATGAAAATAGAAAGGATGAATACTCCCCCCCCGTGCATGTTTTTCAATGTGAAATTAGAATGATTTTTCTCTTTCATCCTTCGCTTCTAAAAATGAGATATATCTTATTTTATTTACTATGGGTTCAAGGAGGAGGGGAAGGCAAGCCGGACCCGAATAGCCTCATTTTCGCTCACAAGGGCAATAGTTGCCAAATTTTTGTGAAAACTGTGGTTTATTGCGATTTCCTCTTAAATGTAATATTTTGAACATGTCGGCTGATGTTTATCTTCTCTAATAATGTTATTGAAGGTAAGGAGAATTGCAATCTTTACCAAAAAATAACGCTGTTTTGCGTGCGATTCGGTTTGAAATTGCCTAAAATCAGATAGGTTGATAGGTAGATAGATAAGATACATATATATAGATAATCTTAAAACTAACTAAACTGTGTGATTTCAGGTAAAAATAGAATTTTTCCTCTTCCTTCATAAAACATGTTTAGAGAAGATCAATATCAGCCAACATTTTACAAAATATTATATTTTAGGAGAAAATCGCGAGACATTTTACCGGGGAGCGGCTTAGGAAGCGCTACGGGTGAGCGCATTGTCGTAACTCTATGTTTATGAGTAAATTGCGGGATGGAGGCAAAAACTTACGCGGATTTCTGTGTAGGCGGTGGTCCGCACATATAAACTCAAAACCACAATCACATCGCTACACGCCTCTGAAATAGAATAAGTAAAAACTAAAAAATAGATGCACATTAATTTAGAATTATCTATATTTAAAGTGGATTTCCATAGATATATGCTGAAAAATTTAAATATTCTACTATTCATGCAGAAATCATGTGCAATAATGGATTTTGAATTTGTACGTTCTAAAATATGTGTCAGATGTGCTAGACGTGTGGTCTATAGAGAAGTACAACATTGAAGTTGTATAATTTATAATGAAAATAAAAAATGTTAAATTCTCTCTCGAGTAGAGGAATAAATTTAACAGTTTCCCCCTCGTTCTACAGACGGGGGGGGGAGATTCAAGAGAAAGGGAATGAGAGGGGGAGGGGGTTCGGAAACTTACAACCTCCGCTTTGTGTTATTTTTTCCCCTCTCAACACTGTTAGATTTCTTGGTTAGCTCTAGGGATGTTTTAGAATGAGATGTAGAAACAGAAATCGACGCCATTGAAAAAATATAAAAAAAACCAGAATCCTCCGTTATCAATAAAACACAAACAGAAACCTCCGCCGAATCGACAAAATAGACAGAAACTGACAAATTCACAAAATAGAAACCTCCGCCGAATCGACAAAATAGACAGAAACCGACAATTTCATCAAATATAAACACGTTCCGCCAAATCAACAAACTTTTATTAATGAAACCTGAAAATGCGTTTTTAAGTAAAACGTAAAAATATGAGAAGTTTAAAATATTTCAGTACTTTTTCTGAAAACCAAATTTACCTTTATCTAGGGGGGGGGGGGGTGTACAGCCTTAAATAAACTTGCTTATATACCTGACAACCGCGTCACATAGAAAACAAATATCAACTGTTCAGAATTAATTATTCTTATTTTTGCTAAACATATTTAACTGTTTTACTAGCCAAGAATAAGCAAGGTTTAATTGCTATATTTTGTTATTCAGTTGTTAATTAATACCAGTTTTAAAATCATTAATTGTTAATCCAACTCTATCCTAAACTATTTCATTTTAAGTGTTTCATTAAAAATAACAAAAAATAATTTAATTAATCAGTTCCAGGGTTCAATAAAAGAAAGATCTTTTGAAATAATTTTATAAAGGCTTGACTTAGAGAATATTTAATCAACAATTATTTAATATTGTTTCATCAAAATAAGGATTTCACCGAAAAACTTCAATGCTTCGAATCTGGGTCCTGACTTTTAAACGTACTGGATCCGGATAGTTGAACAAATCTATGATAATATATCAACTTAGTTCTAATCACTTCAGATATGTTTGCTGGACAAATTATTACTAGAAATGAATTTTTTAACCCCTGTGTTTCTAACAGTCATGTTTCGAGCAATCAAAATTAGTTAGGAATCAGTTTTTCATGAAAAAAGTAACGAGGCATGTCAAAAAACCTAAAAAAAACCTTGAAACGATAAAAAAATTAGTTTTATAAACTATGTCTAAATCAAATAGAATTTAATAGATACTAAACCCTGATAATTCAAAATTTTTCTAAAGAAGAAAACTCAACTTACTACAGTTTTGTGTATAAAGAAGACACTACTACAGATTTTAGATGATTATTAACTAAAAATAACAACCTGAATGGAGAAAAACAAAAGAGGTTGACAAAAACTAATGAGATCTTATCTTAAATAAACAGCAGGTGATCCCAAAAAAATCACCCCCCCCTTCCGTGAAAAAAATATTCGTGAATATTATCGTAAAAAAAACTATCAAATAAAGGCTTCATTTCCTACCTTTTAGGTTTCACCTTGTTTTATATCCTTCATTATAGTCATTAATTTTACATTAACTGCAAAGATCTGTAAAAAAAACTGGATTTATTTTACTCTGTTATTACTGTTAAATACATAATACATGCTAACAAGTTACTTTTTTAAATCTTAAGAAAAGCTACTCTGCAAAACTTTGAAATAATGTTGTCGCTGTTATTCTAATCTGTAAAAAAAAAAGTACGAGGGGGCGTTGCAAAAAGCGTTCTTGAGGACAGAAACAATGATTTGTTTTATATTTATTTTACTATAAAAATTTTTAGCTAAGGAAAAAATCAGCAGATTCAGAGTATTAGCTACAGGCTCAAACAAACATATAATCTGCATAACCTCTTCCAAATGAAAAAAAAAAAATTTACTAAATACTAATTCTGGTTTTTTTTATGAAGATTGAAGTTAGATAAATTCTTTGCTGACTTGACATACAAAAATATTATAAATCATTATCATAATATACGATTTATTAAATATGAATAAAAAAATGTAAGTTTGCGACAAATCGAGTGCCGTCATGAGACAAATTTTTAAACTGAAACAGTTTGTGCATGAACATTAAACATATTGTAATGAAATCCTGCCTCCCCTATAAGCTCCTTCAAATTTCATTCAATGTTGGGGATAGAGATTTATGAATTCATAATACGAAAACATTAACAAATGATTTAATTCCGAAAACTTGAATATTTTTCACCAAAAATTATGTAAATGAATTCTAAGTATATTTATCTAAGCCCACGCCTTCCATATCCAAAGCTTGAGATTGCATAACACCAATATTAGCAAAGTCTAAATTTGCTTTAAATTTGATTTTATAAATCTTACTATTTGAACAAATTAGTCACTCTCCCATAGGAACACGTTTAACTATGTTTAAAGGGAGTGTTTGCGAATAATGAAAGAGGGGTATCAGTTCAGTCTAAAAGGGGGGTGCACTTTCACACTTTGTGACACCAAACTTTGTACATAGCTATTGTAATTAAAATTGTACATACCTGTATTGTAATTAAATTTAAAACTGATACGGATTTAGCCTATACCTCTTTTCTTATGTGCGAAATCCCCCCCTTAAGGGAGATCAAAAATTGTACTTGTGGTACGATTTATGAAATTGTTTAAAATCCTAAAATTTCTTGGCTTTGAAGCAATACATAATTACTCTTCTTGATATTTTTTAAAAAAGGTGTCACATTTTCACAACCTTAGAATGCCTTTCCCATTTAATCTAATCCAGGGGGGGGGGGGACGAAACTCCAAATAACTTATTGTACATAACGGAAACGACCTATAAATATATTTAAAATTAATGCGAGTAAATTGTTGCCCGCAGCACTGTCTACCCAGCGAAATCACAGGTTCAAGGGACTGCATGAATTATGTTTAAAGGGAATGTAAAGGAAAAATGAACGGGAGTATATCCGATGTTCCTGTCTCAAGAAATTGATATAAAACTGTGTCAAATTTATACGAAATTTCATATATATATAATTTTGTATATAGAAATAGTAGGTTTAAACAGATCTTATTCAGCAAATCCACAACAAATCTGAAAACAAAGATATCCCAGAGAAACCAAATTGTAACTTGTCTCTATCTGTATCAAGTGACCAGTGCACTCTCATTGGCGGGAGTTCTTGTAACGTTATACGGACTTATAAATAATATTATCAATTATATCTATCAAAAATAAAGATTATAAAATAATAATTGGAGAAAACCTAACTTACAATGAGATTTCTCTGGGATATCTTTGTTTTCAGATTTGTTGAGGATTTGCTGAATGTGATATGTTTAAACCTACTATTTCTATACAAAACTGTATATATTCTACAGTATGTTTTCTGTAATTTAAAAATCTTAGAATATTGAGTGGTTCAAAATTTCAAACTAGGTTTTGTACATCATTTCGTACGTTAAACCTTTTAAACCTTTCGGCTTTTTTTCAAGAATCACCAATTACTGCGTTTAAATTCGAACAGCTTTGATAGTAACTGTGAATAATAACATAAATGAGGGGGGGGGGGGTTAATTTATGATAACATAATCATATACCCTTCTAGCCGGGTAAATAATTTCAAATTGGATTTATTGAACCATGGCGTTGTTGCAAAATAAATAAAACTAAGCAAGATTAAAAAAGTAGAAGAATAAAATATTCGTCAGTTCAATNGAATAAATATCTTTCATAAAATTAAATATTTTACCAGACATATAAAAATGAACAAATCTAGAATTTCTGTTTATGGCACAGAGTATAATCAAGAAAGAATTATAAACGCAGACAAAGAAAATAATGGATAGAGAGATAGATAGATAGATAGTTAGATAGATGGATGGAAAATATTTAATTAAAAATTTACATATTTTTCTCAAGCAATAAATACACAGCAACAAAATGAAGATAATTTATCCGACACAAAAACCTCCAAATATTATAAAATATTCCCGGAGCGTTGATTTATCAAAATTTCAAATATAAAAAATTAAGGCATAATATATTTCACAAATATGGCGCTCATAAATATATGAATTTAATTTAACAATATAAAATATGCATAGACGGGTGGGGATGCACAGTTCAGTACAATGGAGGGGGGGGGGTATTATTTTTATAAATTCCATGAATTGTAGGCAGTCGGATTATAAGCCTTTATGGTTTATCCCTGAAACTAGGGTTAACATTCTTTTTTAAGTTTAATTACAATAAAAAACTAAAAAATATTGTAAAAAAAATTAAAAATAAAATTTTTTAAATAATGTTTTATATACCCCTGTTGAACCCCACCCCCTGAGTACAAAATATTCTTCAGCTATGCATTTATACAACTAATTCTAATTGAATAATTTGATGAAAGATTGTTAAATAGATTAACAATTGCAACATTTAACTGCAATAAGAGATAAAACTTGAACATAAAATTTAAATATGAAATCGCCGAAGTTTTGGAAATATTTCCATGTTCAAGGAATATCAGAAAGATTTTCTAAGGACCATATGTTTAATGAGTACCCAACCTATATACAACGGCAATATTGATACTAATGAAGACCTCTGAAAATCCATCCTCTCAGTTGTTCTAGAAATTAAGGAGATTTGATGTGAATCATGTATGGTACTCTTTAACCGAGAGGAAATGACGTCAACAATACCTTAAAGATGTTTAAAGTGTGTACAAAAATGCAGGATTTTAAATATGTATCTAGTATCTAAGAAAAGTACTAAATGT